TTAATCGATTTTTTGGATTTTGTTGTATTTCCAAAATGAATAACCGTAGGCTCTTGAAATTTTCACCAAATATTTATATTAGCATTTTCCATACATCGTAAATTCTTTAAAAACTTTTGACTTTTTATGAACTATTTATAGAGCTATTAATGAGAAAATTTTTCAAATTGAATTCAAATATAACACATCCATTACAACGACATTCTCAACAACTATTGTACAGCAAAGCAGTACCCACTTGACCACATTTTTTTTATCCATTTATATTTCCAGGTTACTATTTTTATCACCTAAATAATATAATATACCTTATGTATTCATCAGGTATATTATTGTTGATTTAGTAGGTCGCGCGGATTACCATTGTAATCCATCTAAAAATAAATGTTTTTTTCGTATATTGAAAACCAATAAAATTATCTTATCTTTTCAGTACCTTCGAATAACATGTTGCTTAATATAATTAGTTTGTTTCCGAATACTGGTCGCTAAAGTTGTCGTTGTTATCGGAGTTCAAAGTGTGTTGGATTACCAGTGTATGCCGTGCGATCTTTCACGCCCCTTTTTTTTCAGTTTATTTTATATATTTAACATGTACAAATTTATAAAGTACTCTTGTTTTTTTTTTATTATTAATATAGAGAGCTAAAATATATGTAAGATACTTAAATATTAATATGTTTATACAGAAATATTATAAAAATTTAATTACATTGAGTATCATTACAATTTAAGAAAACAAATTCTAATAAATTATTATTTATTCTCATTTAAGTTAAAGTTCATATTCTAAGGTAAAAAAATTTTAATTTTAATTTTTCTTTATCGCAATATATTTTTCCATATGTACTTAGTATATAACAATAGTTTAAATTTTCAATATAGACTTAGAACCTATTCAAAAAAAATAAAAAAATAATGGATTACAACTGTAATCCTCGCGACTACTGGCGTACTATCAAGGCACGCGACCTACGCAGGGTTAAATATTAGTGTCCTTATGAGTTCATGGTGCATTTAGGAATGGTTATAGTAATTAAAAAATCAAAGTATGTTTTTTTTAGGTGTGGGGGCGTAGCCCCCGCGGGTTTATGTTCTCTACATAATTTTAGCACCCCCAGTGTTTAGCCTTTAGTTGCGCCTATGCCAATAACTATGTTTAAAATTTTTTTTTTTTCAATGAAATATGTTTAATTTATCAACTATTTTTGACATTTCATTTCATTGAAGTATAAAACATTTTTTTTTAAATATTATTTTTTATATTAATTGGACCGGTAAAATGCGTTAATCGTCGATTTTCAATTTTTTTAAATAGACATACATGAGTGTAAGCGTGTACCTGTGAACGAATTTTTAATGTGTTTTATCCGTAACCGTATGTATGTATACATATATATACGATAATAATATATTTCATATTATGAATATTTATTATATTTTATATTATATTTTTATTATTATTATTATATTTTTCATATTATGAAATATATTATTATCGTATATATATGTATACATACATACGGTTACGGATACCACATAATTTAGGTTGTATCAAAGTACCTTATCAGTTACCTATCAATCACCTAAACATATTAAAAATTCGTTCACAGGTACACGCTTACACTCATGTATGTCTATTTAAAAAAATTTTAAATCGACGATTAACGCATTTTACCGGTCCAATTAATTGAAAAATAATATTTAAAAAAAAATGTTTTATACTTCAATGAAATGAAATGTGATTTGTTTTACATTTAATATTTTATCCAGTAAATAGATTATATTATGATGTATAATATAAGACATAGATAAATTATATATTATTATATACCTAAATCTTAAAATTATACCTAAAATTTTTATGCGTTTTAAGTCACATAATATTTAACTACCTACCTAGTAGGCAAGACAAACATCCTGGACTGAACGGATGAGTACGGCCACAAGTTCCTTCGTTTATTCATTTTGCTTTTCCCTGAGAAGCTACGGCATCCATCGCCTTTTTGACGGTTTCTTCGTCACCCAAAAACTTCATTGATACAAGGGGTTTTAAATCCTCGTCGAGCAAATATTCAAATGGTATCCCCGTCGGTAAGTTCAACTCCATTATCTTTTCGTCTGTGATATCTGAAAAACAATATTACGCATATTTTACGCATTGCTTGATTACTCATTAATAGAGCTGAGAATTAAATGGCCTAAAAAAATCCAGTAACAAAATGCTTGTACGTCCTAAAAAATCAAAATAATAATGGACTAATACATTTTATTTTATTTAAAACAAAGTTTGGAATCCAAGTCTTTTACATAGACTTTAAATCTCAAAAAATCATTATTCACATTTAATTTGCTACCTCCACCGTACGTCGTAACCTCGATTTTTACGTCGTAGGCTTCCGTTTGAAAAATTAAGACTAATACTATTCGATTATGTGAAATTTTGTTAGCATACGTTACAAAATTATATTTTAAGTGAAAATCTTAAAACTAAATTTAAACAAACCCTGATTTTAGTGTCATAAAAGCTCTAAAATGTTCTAAATAATGAAAATCAAAAATTATTAATAAAAACTTATTATTCTGATTCAAAAATATATGGAACTGAAATGTTATTAAACAAGCATCGCGTAGATTAGGAAAATAATATATGGATACACGTGTACCGAAATCTCAGCCTTACTTATTTAAAATAAAAAGTATAATTTCGTTGTGCTGAAAATGCACTCGAATTTCTGTAATTTCAGTCAGTCTCAGAGATGTGAGGCTGAAAAGTTTCAGAAATTTTCAAGTGAAACTTTTTATGAAAACTTTAATTTCATAATCGTACGCATACACCAATAGATAGGTAATGTCTATATATGTTTACAAAAGTTATTTATATTTTGTAGTATTACATAAGTCTGTAAAATTGTGAACTATTAAAATTGAAATTGTCAATGTTTTGTGAACTTACTATTTGTGATGTTTAATATTTTGGAAGGTATTTATATCTTAAATTGACACTTTACAACTATACATTTTTGTATACCTGTCAAAAAAGATGATATTTTATCTGGCCCTAGTACTAAATCATAACAACCACTATAGATAACTGTATGTCGAAACTGAGAATTTGATATGATATAGTAGACATAGATCATGTTTCCAAAAGTTTTTTTAAGATACTTTTAGTAATTTAAGGGGTATGAATAGCATTGGAAAATTCTATGAAAATGTATTTTTGTATTTCCAATAATATGGTTTATTGAGTGGTTTGAGAGCAAATACACCTGTTATTTATTTATGTTGTATATCAACGGGTATATACCCTTTTACAAATTGTATAAAGGAAACATATCAGATAAAAACTAAAAACTAAATAAGTGTAGTAAAACCAAACAACAACAGATAAAATAATATAAAAATAACTCTGAAATAAAAGTAATAAATATATAAAATTATAGTTACATTATAAACATTTTTTTTTTTCATATTAATCAATCAATATTTTTTAATAATAACATAGATTTAGATTTAAAACAATTGCGTGAGAGGAAAAAAATATCTAAATGTAAACAAATTTTATTAGCTAAAATTAAAGCTCGAGGGAAAAAGAATAGGTACCACTATTCGTTTTATAATTACGTGTAATTAGATATGGAATTCGAAAGCATTTCAGACAACAATTCGGGACACACAATATTGTAATTAATAAGATCATAGACAAACATAATATCAGTTAATTTCCGTCTATACGTGAAAGAGAAACAAGGCCAATATAATCTTGAGCTCGATGGAGTGAGTCCCTAGATAATGGAATATTTGACAAGTATGAAATCCTTTTTAAAAATGTATATTGTACATTGTCCAAATCATTTATATATGTCAAGTATTTGCATGACCAGATTACGGAGCCGAAATCAAGATTGGATCTAAAAAAAGATGTATACAAGGTTTTTAAGCATAACGGATTTTTAAAATCTATAGTATTTCTATTAATAAAGCCTAACATCTTAAACGATTTATTAATTATCATATTATGGTTCGTTTTAAAAGAAAGATCACTTTCAAAATAAATACCAAGATCTTTGATTACATTTACTCTAGTGAGAGAACACATTTCAATATTATAGTTAAAAAAGATAGGATTTTTTTTACGTGTAAATGTTATCGTATGACATTTATCACTATTTAACGGTAATAAATTTAATTTACTCCATAAATGAAATTTATTAAGATTATACTGTAGAAGAGAATTTTCGATATTTTTATTACTTAAGTCAATAATTCAAATTCAAAAAGTAAAATATCACACATTTTAGACCTAAATATTGGACCTTGAAAATAAAATATCGAAAATCGACTCCTATACACACCTAGATAAACTTCTTCTCTTCAATTTGTATAATAGGTGTTCATACTCTAATGCCACTTAGTAAGCTATATTATTAAAAATAAGAAACTAAGTTTCAATGCTTCACTAAAATTCACATATTTTGTAATGAGTGTGTAAAATGCTTAGTTACTGACATGTGCGTGACGTTAGGGTGCGATACGCTATTTATTTTGTACACAATCACTCACACTAATGATAATTTACTACGCACCCATTTTTTATGACCCGCATGCACACAAATAGAAAATTGCCTATATTGAACGCCTTAGAAACGATCTGTATTTATACCCCTTAATAATATTATTATTTATTAAATTTATTAGGTTTGTTATTATATTTAGTCTAAGTTTGGTACAGTCATAAAAGTTTATATTAAGTTCTATTGGAAAATCGATAAATTACTAGGAAAATAAATAAATTAACACTGATTCAATATAATTATTATTAGTATTCAATGATTACTATTTAAATGCAATTAAGATGGCCAGCATCTAATAATTGCATTTTATAAATCACTTTTAAATAATAGACCATATTATATGGTCGTCGCGAAGATGAAAAAACCAAGTCACTCAATCGGATCACCGAATTCGTCGTTGAAATCGATAAAAACGATATTATTTCACTCACTATCTAAATGTTTTATTATGCCCCTGAGGCTGTTTCCATGAGCTGCTATTATAATCCGACACCCATTTTTGATCTGAGGGACGATCACGTTATCCCAGTATGGCAGTGTCCTTTGTATCGTCATTTTTAATGACTCGTGTGTTGGGAATTCACTCTCGGAGGGACCGTCTACGTAACGGGGGTCGTATTTTATGTGACGGTAGTGAGGGTGATCAACCTCCATTGGCGGTGGTGGGATGTCGAAACTGCGCCTCCACATTTTGACCTGTAAAAATTATTATGATAATTTATTTTTGTCCCCTCGAATATAGTCCAGAAGTACAAACATAGAAAATTGCATTCATCGTAATAATAAGTAGGTACCTAGGTAATTAAGATAATGATAATATAACTAATAACGCGATCGCCGTGCGTTAATAATTAATTAATATACCTTGTCTTCGCCATACTTCTTTGCCGTTTCAGACTTATTGAGGCCGGTCAGACTTCCATAATGCCGCTCGTTCAGTCGCCAATTTGTGTGCACTGTGCAACTTTTTTCTGGATCTACTTTGTGTAGAATGTTATACAGAGTGTCTTGGGCCCTCTTCAAGACGGAAGTGTGGGCGACATCAAACTTGTAGCACCGTTGTTTTAGCGTATTCCCCGCCGAAATAGCTTCTTCTAAGCCTAAAAAAATAAAATAAAATGTTAACAAAAATAATATACAACACCACTCGATATCGACCATTTTTAAATGTTAACGATGAATTTGACTAAAATGTCATATAATTCAGAGCTATTGTAAGCTGTAGCTGGTATTAAATGTATACCTACCACATATGTGTATCCAGCGTAGGTCATATGGATACTTTAATGTCGTATATAGTCAGCTATCGCGTATTATATTTATATTAAGTAGTAATTACCTACCTATTAATAAATAACACAGCTGAGGCTATAGTTATGATATAATTACGACACATTTTTAAACGTTAACTATATACCTATAAATTATAGGCTATAATAGTACCTTTGCCTGCTACCTACTATACATTAGACTAAAATAAATATAACTACATCATAGATACCTAATAAAATAATTAAGCAACACTTTCGTGGCCCGTTAGGTAACCGTTTTTTAAATCTTACTCTTACAATAGGACAACTCGGCCGTATGGTAGGCGTATAGTCCGATAGCCGTATAGGTTCCTACGTAGTATAGATACAAAGTTGAATATTAATATAACTTGAGAGTTATAATATTATAGTTACCTTCAGCCAACTTAATTATGGTAGAAATATTTTATTTACATTCAAATTTTTTACAAAAATGTTTTTCGTTTCAATTTGGTTTGAAGAAAATCATAAATTCATAACACTGAATAAAATGTAAAGGATTTTTGAAAACAATTTTAAATCATATACCTACATAATACATATACTTAAATTATATATTATATTAAGGGCGTTGGAATTGTATTTTCGGCGTAAGAACTTATCTAATATTAAAAAAATAAAAATTGCCTTCATTCTTCAACTAAATATTTAAATAATTGTATCAAACATTTTAATATTTACCTTTTGAACTCAGGCTGGCATCATACCAACCACAGAACAAATTTTTTTTATTCCAATCGCTCTCTCCGTGGCGTATCATTACAATTTTATAACTTTTGCACATCGATCCCTTAAAATTAAAAACAACATTTAAGGTTATCAGCTTAAATAAAACCTCTGGGCTATATAGTATAAATTATATTATTACCTACATAATATACCACACTGTGGATGGGGGGTATTCAGTGGTAGATTTAATGGTGGGGAGAGGGGCCCGGGCCCCCTCCCATTGGCCCATCATCTAGGTTAATAAATTGGGCAGTTTTATAAATATTTGTGTCGCAAAACTTGAAAAAAGACAATGGACCCCCCCCCCCCAAAAAAAAAAATAGTATTTCCGTTAATATTAAAACACTTCGCCACGTCACACCAGTTTGTAAAGGTACATAGTCATACTCGCACATCACTACCGTGAGCGAGTCCTGCGAATCTGATTCATGGTGAGTCGTGACTCACCTAGATAAAGGGTGAGCCGTCAGTAGGATACTAATTAAAACGTTTACACGGCGTGAAACAAAAGTGCGAATCGCCTTTGACGCGCACCTCGAGACCGACTGACTGACGGCTCGCCACGCATCCACCTCGCGAGTCGTGATTCGCGTTCTACAGCCGTCTACACGTCACGAGGATTGATGCGCGAGTCTGACTCGCGAGTCAAACTCGCGCCGTCTAAACGGACCTTAAGACTTATTAATAATATTGTTTGACTATATTAACTTACTTTAGAAATATCAGAATAATTTTTATGAGAAATGTTCTTGGAGGTTGTACACCATATTCTTGATTGTCCGATTGTTTTAACAAATTGCTTTGTAAGTGAGCTAAACATTATGGACGGATAAACTGTATGTAATAATAGGTATTAAAAACTTTAAAATTTTGAAAACTTAAAAATTTTAAAAACTTAAAAAAGATTTACTAAATTAGTATTATAATAAAATATTTTATAAAAATTCGATTAATCTTTAGGTGTTATCAGGCCACTTGTTTCTATGGAAATAAATTAGTAATATAACACATGTTCAGCGTCATAATAATAAAGCCAATATTTATCCAAATTTAATGGTTTAAATCCATCAAAATTAAAAAATTAAAAATATTTAATATTAAATATTTGCACCCATTTTTATTTATTATTTTAAAACTAAGTAATACAAATATTTGTATCATATTTATTTATTAATATATTTATTTATTTAACTTGTATACCTACAAATTAATTTTACATGGGACTATAATTGTTTTTTTATTACATCGCAAAACAAATATGTAAAATTCTAAGGGCATAATATTATTTATTATATTTTATTTTATTATTACATGCATAACTTACTTTGCCCTTTTTACATATAGATAATATAATGTACATATTATGATATTTCATAAAATAAAAGCATAGGTAGTATACTAGAATACAAGGCTCCTACTATATTGTTTCAAAGACAGATGAAAATATTAAAAATCGTTAGTTACAGTTTTTTTTTAAGCATTTAAAGTTCAAAAAATGACAAAATATGGAAAAATCACGAAAATTTGCAAATTATTTCTAGTTAGAAATTCATAAAAATTTTGCTTTTTAAATCTAAGATATGAAAATGTAATACAAAATTCCTTATAAGATTTCCTACATTTATCAAAAAAAAAAATTCTATAAGAAAGTCAAATTAAATTTTTATGAGCGTTTGAAATTCAAATTTTTACAACATTGGATATTCACTCGATTTCTCATGTGCCGATTTCCTTATTTTGTTGTAATTCAAAAACGAATTACTGTAGATACATGAAAATTTCACTGAATGTTTATATTAGCATTTCCTAAACACCATACAATTTTGAAAATATTTTGACTCTTTTTGAGCCGTTTACGGACATTTTCAGTTTTCAATTTTTTTAGTTTTTTTTTCCTATAAATATCAATAAAGTTATATCTGTTGGGCCAAAAAGTGTAAAAAATTAATACAAGGCTCCTGATATATTGTTACAATAGCAATTGAAAAATATTAAAAATACATAGGCATAATTTTTTTTTATAAGCATTTAAAGATCGCATTTTGACAACATTTATCAATCATCGTAATTAATAAATTATAAAATGTTCAGTTTTTATAGCTAAGGATTGAAAATTTAAAAAAAAGATTCTCATAAATAGTTCAAACTGTAACCAAAAAATCTGAAAAATATATGAACACAGTTATTTTTTACAGACATTTTAAATTCAAATTTGGACGAAATTACATATTAAAATCAATATTAACGATCTTGGGTTTTTTGTTGTAATTTAAAAATATTATTCGGGGATATATGAAACTGAAAAATCAAAATATTATGGCCTATCCATACAATCTACCATAGTACAAGGAATAAGAAGTATGCTTAATGATAAGACTGTGCATATTATAAGGGGCAATGAATAATTTATTCATAAATTCCATATAATTTAATACCATAGATAAGTATATAATATGTCTTATACCTAGACTGACATACCGTCTCCGCTCAGAATCGTTTTTCTTATACAATGATATTATATCATTGAATTCAAGTTTAATACCATCCATTATACAGTGACCCACTTGTAACCTACAGTACAGCAGAGCGACATCCACTTCCCCACCTTTTTTTTTTTTTTAATACAGAATTTTATACTCGCGTATAATATTATAATAATTATTGTAATGATTAAATATTTGTTTGTATATACATATTCATACGTCTTATTTAATAATATTGAATTTAGTAATTCATCTTGTGTATTTAACTTTGAAATAATTTTTATAAAAGCTTCTTTGTCGAATTTTAAATTTTTTATTTCATCTAAATGAATGGGTTTTGGATAACGTTGATTAAGTGTAATATTGCAACATGAATCATTTAAAATACTTAAATCTAAAGGTAGTGTTGCAAAAGACGATTCTACTGTTTGCTCTGTTATTAATACGCCTTTAGTAGTATGAGCTTGACACCCACCTTTCAGAAATAATTTTCCAGAACTTTTCAATGTAACTTTACGAATAAAAGATCGATTATTACAAATTATTGTAATTGTTGTAGGCTTTTCACACACAAAATACCAATTATTTTTGAAAAACGATGGGTACCATAATTCTTTTTAAAATTCCATGATATAAGTATCACATTGCGTAGGTTTAGTTAAAGCATTTTTTAATATTTCTGTTACACAAGTAGGATCAGTATCACTATTGTGTAACATTTCATTGAAATCGCAAACAAAAATGTCGGCAACTATTAAACAGTTATTGATATTTGACCAAATAAAATATTTTGTCAACACATCATCTGTTAATAAATACGTTGGATTTTCAGCGATATGTATAAATTGCCCGTGTTCATTAATTGGAACGTATATTGGTATAATATAATACAATTAAAAAATTTCGCCGCTACATAGTGGAATTTTTATTGAAAATATTATTCTATCGTTCATTGGTTGAAGGTCTATATGTAATATTTTGTATATTTCTTGTATATTAGTTTCATTAAATTTGATAGGGATTTGTAAATTTTCAGGTAGAATATTTTCTATTTGTTTTATTTCTGACAACAACTGATCTGGTGTAATTATAAAAACATCTAATTTATTTGTTTGAACGTTTGATATCATTCTTTGTAACCTCTAAAAATAAAATTAACCTACTAAAATATAATATTTAGATATTTAGGTAATACTAGTTTAGGTTACAGTTATATATTAGATAATATTATTTACTGTATTGAATACATTCTTTACGAAGTAAGTATTTAATAATTCAATAAATATAAACCGCGTAAAGGTACGCTCGAATATTAAAAATATTACGGCGGTAATGCGGTATAATATACGTGTATGCATTTTATATTTATGTGATCCGCCACAGACGAAGGTTGATAAAATAATAAACATCGCTCCCGAATGAGCAAAATTGTCGGCCAGCCGCCGACTGTGAGTAGTGGGCGCGGCTTAAGCGTCGCGTGCTTGCGGATCGCGAAAACACGTAACAGCGCGTTCTCTCGGTCGTTGTATACGTTTCGCTTTCGGTGTGGCGTCCTCTTAACATTCAGCTTTTTTAATATTCAAGATAGACATTATCTATATACATATACGTATAGTAATGAATTGCTGTCCGTTATATTCTCGCTCAAACTCAAAAACGGCTCTTCAATTTGAATATTTTTTTTTTTTGTTCTGTTCGTACCTAATTGTTAAGGCAAGGTTTGTATAAAATTATGAAATAACATTTTTGAATAGTCACGATAAAGTACGATTTGACATCCCAACCTTCAGAGCAATACCTACCGCTGCATATTGAAACAAATTACTCGATAATGGTGCAACCTACTTTGCTTTGTCGCGACGGCCTGGGCCCTATTATTCTATATTTAAGATAACAACAGATTGCTCATTTTATATTAATCATACCTACCTTAAATTTTCGAATCTTATCAAATGCTTGCACTAAAATAATATAGCCACTAGTAAATCATATTAAATAGAGATGTGTCGTTCATGAACGACCTAGTTCAATTGAAGTATTCAACGAAGTGAACAATTCTAATTAGTTCACGTTAGAAGAACGACGTAGTTCATTTTGGTTCTACCATTATCATCGTTCTACCGGGTATATCTTATACGCTCACTACTAAAACGTTAAACGAACGAGACCATATTCGAACGATTTTCTGTTTCATTCACTAATCAGTAATCCAGTGGCGTGGCGTGGGTATTAAAAAGATGTAAGCAGTGAATTTTTTTTTTCAAAAGTGATTAGAATATAGGTACTATACCTAAATACCTAATTATAAATTATGTATAGGTAAAAAAATGTTATCCTTTTAAAATTTTTAATATTTTTAAAAATATACTAGTTGTACAAATAAAAAGAAAATAAAGAAATTGAAGTATAAATACTTCAAAAGTCTATTAGGCGAATGACAGTGACAGTGTACGTAAAAACGACTACAGTCTACAACGCGTCGGGCTACGTACTGGTCGCTCCTTGTTTCTCACGTAAGCAAAATCAAATGTGCTTACAAACGCTAGTTAAATACGTGACCCCCACTATGGCATTATAGACTATTCGAAAACAACAGTTGCGCGTAAGCAATTTCAGAATGTGTTACACTGTATATCGTATTATGATTATGCAGTTAACATAATACAGAATGGATTAAAAATTGACCTACAATCGATGATTTTCTTAAAATAGTTGGTAATCAAGTAGACAGCGTACGACACAAATAAACAATAACCAAAACCACTACCAGCCATAACTTAAATATTTTATAAATAAAATTAAAATTTTAAAAATCATTTATTATGTACCTATTAGTCGTGATTGATCAAATTTATTTTTTCTTTCATTTAAAGTGTAAGCAGTGCTTACATGCACGCTACGCCCCTGCAGTAATCACTACTAGAACAATCTGGTATACCAGTGAACTAAAATCGGCTCGAGAGGGGTGAGATGTATGCCACCGATTTCTACAACCGATTTCTCTAGCCGGTTCGGTAATGAAGTGCGTGTTGGATAAAATCAGCGACGGTTTTACCAGGTGCACGGCGTCGTACGGTCGTATATCGTCCATCTGGTGCTGACGCTCAGCGTACCACATGAGTAGCGAACAGTACACCGTCAGCATCGCGTTGGCAAAACGCTCGGTGAACGTTCTAGGAACGCCTCGGCGGGACAGCACGTGGCTGATGACCGCCGGGTTTGGGCGCCGGTCAGCGGACGTTCCAGGAACGTGGAGATGGGCGTCGGTACCACGTAAACCATTATTGGCACGCTGAGCACAGAGGCCACGTATGCCACGCACTCAGACATGAACGGTTCGGTGATGACCAACTCGAATTTCCGCTCCGTCACTCCATTCATGATGTCCGCCATCAGTCGGTGTTCGTGAATTTTGTCGCAATCCGCCCGAGTTACGTTCGCTGCGAACGAAAAAAATAATCGTTTGGGTCCGAATGTTTCCATCAGGTATGTCAAGTTAGCGCCTACGACCGGTACCATTTGCTCGGACACATCTACCTCCATGTAACCATCCCGATCGCCGTCCACAAACGGCGTGAACACGGTGACCGTGTGGCCGCGTTCCGTCAGAGCCCTCAGCACGGATCGCATAACGTTCCAGTGGCTCTTGCCCGGGATTGTCTCCACCGCCAGTATGTTCGCGGCATCGACCGGCGTCCACTGGATTAGTGTGGAAAATGCGGAAAACGCAATCAACACCGTCACGAAACTCGACATGGTTTTTCCAGTTGTTGTTTTCTGAGGTACAATTTTAAATTATTTAACTGGAAAATATAATCTGGATGACCAGGTAATTGGTATATTATGCGGTGGACGTGTCGGTTTTGATTTGATTAATATTAGATATTGGTATACCGTCGAAAATGCTCATTTTAATTCAAATTTCAAATAATACAATAATAGCAACATGAAATAAGATTTGAAATTCGAAATAGACTTTTCTCAGAATTCGTGATTAGCACGTTTTCGTTGGTATTTTTTTCTGAAATTGTGATGAAAATAATGATTTTCAATCGTTTTAAATTCATAGTTTTTGCAGTTTTTAACGTAATTTGACTGTATTTTTTGTGAGTTTTATTCATTTAAAATATGCATGTAATCTGAGTTTATCTATATAATATTAATTGCAGACTCGTTACTCACCTATGAAATGTTGAATATTTACTGGAGCACTAAAATGTTCGTAAGCACTTATAATCTACGTACAAACATATAAGGAACCAGTGTGGCCGATTTCATGAATCGTATACAACTGCGAAATACTCAAGCTTCTACTCTGTATTATACTTAACAAACTTTAGACCACTTATGAAAAGATAATTGCTTTTTTTTAATCTTTCACAAAAGAAACAATGATTTATTTATAAGTACTGTAATGAAAACTGATAGTCACTCTTTATATTTATTGGATAACAAGAGTTATCATCATAATCTTTATTATATACATAAAATATATCCAGCGACATGGTCGTGGAATGAACTAAGTAAAAAAAAAAAACTGTATGACCGTGTGTGTGTATCGAAGCAGCAGGAGTTGCCTATTTAAACTGTGTAAAATACGGGTAAATTTGTTATACGACATAACTAATTTTCTAATGCATCAATTAACTCCTAGTAAACTCCAAAACATCAGAAATATTGTGTAGAATGTCCTTTTGTAAAAATCATAAAAATCCTGCCTTTATAAATTAAGTTATAAATGAAATTTATATTAAATTCAGAATCACGGTCGTCGTCGTCGTCGTAGCAACAGCGTTGCCAATGTTTGTTATCTAGTCATAGGAGAAAATATAAAAAAATTATGAAATATGTACAGAAGGCTATTAAAAATAATATAGTGAAATATAGCACAGATATCGTACGTGTGTCTGTGAGTAATAGTAATCATCATCATAATCGTTGATAGCTGATACACAATAATTATAATATGTACCTACGCGTGTACATATACGTATAAAGTTTCGACATTACGTTACTTATCTAGTTTTTTTAGAAAAGACCGAGGTATGTATAGCTGGTTATACACAGACACACTATCACAGTCATTATTATTTGTTTCTTGATCTTTCGGTGAGTAGAATTAATTTTCGTCCGGAAGGTGTACCGCTATAATATGATTCCAGCCCGAACTTTGAAACTAGGTAGGTAAGTGGGTTTATAGCCGGGACCCAACTTACCTACTAACTTCTTACACACGTGAATCAATTTACCTAACCTTCCAAAATGTACACACATTATTGGTATTTACCATAATCGATTTATGTGAAAATTTATTCAATATTTAAGTATGGAAAATCTCCGTAGATACATTGAATCTTAAGTAAAATATTTACTATACTCAATACAAATAATCACCAATAACAAGGAAAATATAACGATTATAATTATTATGTATAATGTATCTATAAATTATTTTGAACAATTAAAACATTTATTATTTGTATAATTTTATTTTATTCACGTTTTGATTTGACAGTATGGAAAAATTTGGATATGTGCTTCCAAATCAATTTTAGGCCATAATATATTATGAACGAGACGAAAAAAGCAATGAATAAAATTGTGCTAATTACGTCAACCAAAAAGTATTGATACCATGTCAGATTCATAGCATGATATTTTAAATGTGGCGCTCCTTTATGACGCAAAACGTACTCTGTCCAGTAAACCACCGACTCCGCGGGTGACATGGGTCGGTCTTTAAACCGTCTGGAAGCGATATTAGCGTTTTCCTGATACCTATACACATAGAGTTTTAGTGAGCATTGTTATGAAGTTTTATTGAAAGACATAAAATTGTTCACCTGTCGTTGTTGACAATCTCAAAAACAGCGTTTAACAACGTCTTTTCAGTGACAGATAACAGGTCCATACTGATCGCCATCCCGGCGGCTACCAAGTTATCAACATTTCTCGGTTGATCGTAGAAAAACGGGAATCCTAGTACAGGCACGCCCGCGTCCACTGCTTCGTACACTCCGGATACTCCTCCGTGACTGATAAACAATTTCACATTAGGATGCACTAAGGTCGGATTAAAATTATAACACTATATTATTATAGTCCAGTAGTATAGTTGTATGGACACTCGGGACGTACAAAGTATGTCACGTTGAGGAAACCATTTACGAGTCATCACGTTCTTCGGTTTGTCTTTCATTTCACCATCGTATTTCCACAACACCTTTTGTGGTAGCCTGGCGAGCACTTCTCGGAAAGCGCTTTGAACGTTTTCCGGTAATGACGACATCGAAACTATGGATCCGAATGAGAAGTATATTACCCCGTGGGTCGCGTCATCGATGAATTCCAAAATATCCTTTTAACAAGTGAGCATTCTTATAAAAAAAGTATATTTGAAATTTAAAATTTCATAATTTTTTTTTAACGTGATTGAAGGAAAATATCTGCGTGTGCCCGTTCAAGAAATAACGTTGTCTGTGCGTCACATATAGGTCTAAATCGTGTGAGTCTACTACTCTACTACGTCTTATAAACATACAACATTAAAACACATCAAATGTAATCTTTCATTAATATATGAGTACAACGGTTCTCAAACTTTTTTGTTCGCGAAGCCCTTAATATATTGCTAAGAAAATTCTACGAAGCCCCAAAAATTTGAAATTCTCATAAATATACATAACTCAGATATATGATGCTTACATGATTTGCTTATTAATTAATTAATTTGTTATATTATTATGCACGACAAAAGCAATATAACATTTAACCAACTCACATCAAATATCGTTTTCGAATTCGAATCAAAATATGCGGGGGTTATTGTGGTGAGTAAAATTAACATGATAACCCAAATATTATCCACCTCCACGATCGTGGTGCGAACTAAGTAAAAAAAAACTAATTAATAATAATATTTTTTAAATAATAATAAGTTTTATTTTAATAGTCCTTTGCTATTAAATTATTTTGTTCGTCACACTTTGTTTCTTATAAGAAATAATTCCTCGCCCAGTAAATAAATTATTGAAAGAAAATAAGTTTACTTAAATTCAATATACTTAGCATTTATTAATGATATCACATATTTATAGTGCTTAAAGATCTTATATTTTTTTTACTTAGCTATTTTTACACGTAGTTTACGAAGGGTTTTTGTTGTGATTTTATTTTAATAAAATAGGTAGGTACCTATGTGTCCACGGATCTCCCCGGGATTAGAGCTCAACAAAGTAGATTACAGTTTGAGAACCGCTGCATTTTCCGACTTAAGCGAAAATTGTGCAATAGTCAAAATCAAATTTGCCATCACTAAAATAATAATATTATTACTGTTTTGAAAATGCCTCCCCCCACTTAATTGCACTCTAGGACGGTACCAAACTCGCCTATACCTTGAACCAGCCGTGTTCAGAACAAATTTTGTTTTGTTAGCTTTAAGAAGATGTTGGTTTTCTCTCTCAGACCCAAGCACAACATAGATAAAATTCTTTCACTTAAAATCATGATTTTTTATGATTTTTGAGTAATCTTAGAGTAAAATCGCATGTTACAAAATGTATAGAGGATAATATTTTTTGAGGTGGATTGTTTGACATATCGGGTTTATATTGTGTTATTATTTGACTATAAGTACCGTAGGTACTAGGTATTCGACTTTCAAAAAAAAAAAAAAAATTTAAAACTTAATGATGTGTAAATTGTTTTGAAACAATATTTAGACAAATCGATATGTCATATGCTCAAAAATATTATTCTCTCTAATAATTGTGAAGGGTGATTACTCAAAAACATTGTGGAAATTCGTTTTGTCTATGTTACTCGTGGATCAGAGAGCGACAAACAGTGCACTGACATCCTCTTAATGTCATTGTGAATTTACAGCTATTATCCAACTTAAAGTTAAGAACATTATTATCTCTATTTGTACATTTGGATGTTTAAATTTTTAACGAATTATGAGAAATTGTATAATTTAAAAAATATGTGCACACATTCATACGCAGCAACTGGAAATTAATAAAAAAAAACTGATAACGTTCTTACCTTTATGTCTTATAACAATATGTGGGTGTGGCGTCATCTTAATTACCTTCGGTATCGATTCGGGCGGGGTCAGATGTATGCCACCGATTTGGACTACGTCCGGCGTCAGCGGCCTAGACGGTTCTGTGATGAAATGCGTGTTGGTGAAAATCACCGACGGTTTCACCAGTTCCACGGCGTCGTATGGTCGAGGATTGGTCCTCCGAAGATTCCACTCGGCGTACCACATCAGCGTAGAACAGTACACCGTTAGCGCCGCATTGGCGAAACGTTCTGCAAACGTTTCGGGAACTCCGCGGCCGGACAGCACGTGCCCCGCGGCCGCCGGGTTCGGGACGTGTCCGGTCAGCGGACGTTCGAGAAACGTGGCAATCGGCGGCGCGAACACGTACACCATTGGCACGCGGAGAACGGTGGCCACGTACGCCACACACTCCGACATAAACGGTTCGGTGATGACCAAGTCGAATTTTGGGGCCACCCCGTTCAAGATTTCCGCCATCAGTCGGTTTCCGTAAATATCGTCGCAACTCGACCGAGTTTCGTTCGCCGCGATCGGAATCAATTGTCCCTGCTTGCGGAACGTTTCGATCAGGTGCGTCGCATCTACGTCGGCGAGCGGTGGCCTTTGCTCTGCAGACACGTCCACCTCCGTGTAACCTTCCCTGTTGCCGTCCAGGGACGAAGTGAACACAGTCAAGTTGTGGCCGCGGTCCGTCAGCGCTCGGAGCACGGATCGCATGACGTTCCAGTGACTGTGGTCCGGGACCGTAGGCACCGCCAGGATGTTCGCGGCACCGACTTGAGACCACTGGAATATTGTCGGACACGCACAAAATACAATCAACATTGCTGAGAAACTCGACATGGTTTTTCCCGTTTCTGTTTTCTGCGATACAATATAAAATATTTTTGGCCGATAATAATAATCTTTATTACGGAAAAAAAATCCGTTTACAATTATTTAGAACATACTATTCAATAACAGTATATAGTATACATAACTTAATACCTAAACTATAACCATTACTAAAAAAAAACTGGTAAGTGGATGTCCCTCTCCTGTACAGTAGGTTACAAGTGGGTCACTGTATAATGGGTTATATTAAATTTGAATTCAATGATATCATAATATATTAATATCATTGTATACGAAAAACTATTCTGAGCGGAGACGGTTTGTCAGTCTAGATATTTTATATTGTTATTATATTTTATTATAGCCTGTAAGTTGAATTAATATTATAAATTACAACAAAATAAATAGAATCGTTATTTTTATTCGTTTCCATGGTAATAAACAAAGCGTGAACATTTTTTTTTTTATTTTATTGAAATAATCTACAATTTATACTTTTTTTTTGGTACAATAAGTAGGTTTGATACATGACAGTAAAATAAATAGGTCGACATGAATCATATGATTAGAGAGGATACCCAGTAGTAACACCCTATTAACGTTAGAAATTAAAATCCCATTTTTAGCATTTTTTTATAATTTGTTGGTGGTTTTTCCCTCAATAACTATTGAGAAAATCTAAAAATTACCTTTTTAAAGTAGGTACCATCTAGATCCAATTTGCTAAAAGATAAGATACTATGTATCACGGACTAAGAGATACAGGACTGGACACGACAAGGTCGGAGGGTGTGCTGGGTTGACTACGAAATGTTTTACAACAGGCAGTGTTCGGGGGGATATTTTCCTTTTAGCATTACTAGCGCCGTCCTAGTGGATACTTATGGAACTAGAACACATCATACAAATTTCTAGTTCCATAAGTATCCACTAAGACGGCGCTAGTAATGCTAAAAGGAAAATATCCCCCCGAACTCCGCCTGTTGTAAAACATTTCGTAACCACAATATTCATCTCGTGTCCAGTCCTGTATATCTTAGTCCGTGCTATGTATGGAAATCGAAGCACTAGTGGTAGAAATTTTGTATACAAGATAAAAAAAAAAATAATAATAAACACCATTGTAAAACTACTAGATCCCTCACTCCCCTCAGAATCTAAAAATAGCATTTTAAATTGTAAATTATGAATTTTTATTTAATTTTTCTATTTAAACACGATGTGAACTCAGTGCCGGCGCTAGGGGAGGACAAATGGGACATTTGTCCAGGGCCCCGCGCTTGTTAAAGGGCCCCGTGATTTTTAATTATCATCGTGATACGAATACCGTGGTCTACCGTCGTATATTGCATTATTCTAGCTGCAGCGGTCGCGTACTTAGATATTAAACAATTTATTATTTTATTCAAACATTTTGATGAATTAATTTATTTTTAATTGATGATTTTATGTAGTTGTTAAAATAAATGTAAATTAATAAAATAACCAGCCCTTATGAATTTATTAGCCTACGATTTTCCACTCAAAGGTTTAACTGAAACTCACGCTACGCCAATAATTCTGTGCTGAGCGAGGTTTCATCAGGAGGAATCGCACTCGAATGTGTTGTCTCCGTTTACTCAAGTAGGTAAGGTAAAGTGGGGTAAGTGTGACGCAAAAATGAAAAGTTAATTTTGAATTTGACAATACTTTTTTTGTTTTTAACTTAAAGTTGTTATTGTTCCATAATGTAACACCTCTAGATATACTTACATAATTGGAATTTATAGTCAACAAAGTTATATTATCACTCACCTAAGAATAATTTTTTAAATTTTAAAACGTCACACTTGCCCCTTTTCATGGGGCAAGTGCAAAATCGGATTGTTTTTGCTATTAGTATTACATAAAATTATATATGGGGCAAGTGAATAACAAAGATAAAAATAAGCTTTAATTTGATTTTTGTTTCATTAAAATATCTTGATTCATTAAGAATTGACAGAGCATTATTTAAATTTAATTATTTACCTATATTATATATAAAAACAGTACTTTTTTTAAAATCCTGATTTAAAAAAAAGCTAAAATTTCACTACTCTCTGAGAACCTAAAGGCTATTACCTATGACCAGGGCCCCGCAATACCTAGCGCCGGCACTGTGTGAACTTATATAAGTTATCGGTACCTATATAAATTACTTATATTAATATTTTATCGTATAAATAATAAAATAATAAATAATAATAAAATAATTATTAATAAGTTGAACAAGCCTTATTATCTGCCACCATAAAAAACGTTCATAGGATAAGATGCCAGTATATTATTTATGTAGAACAATTCTTTAGTTCACGTACCGGTTATGGGCACTTGTAAACGCTCGATAATAGTTAATACCAACAATAAGTTTAAATACAAATTCTTTTAGTTTTGAAAATTCTTCTATAATATATTAATATAGAGAATAAATATTGGCAAAATTAAAACTCTATAATATAGTATAACCCGAATGAGTTCTCGTTCATCATGACATTTAAAGGAAAAGTATCTTCAAATTGACTCTTAATTATGAATTTGAGTAGTAAAATAATTATTGTACCGAATAAGTGAAACAATAAACAATAAATCAAGGCGAGATCTTACCGATTAAAATTAAATTGCTTTTAAGGCATCAGAGCAATATAGCTGGTGGAAGTTTCATCTTAAGAAATGTAAGTTTGATAAAGCCTTAACTTTTATATTCTGCACATTATGAGCCTTGAAAGTAAGCTGCGATGATCTAGTAATTTTATTGGTAAATGAAAATGTGTTGGGTTCGGTGTCGTTAATATCGGTAAAACTTTGTATTTTGCAATCGAGTATTACAACATAATTATATTTTACGAATTAGATGTACGTATTGAAATGTATTATTAGGTATTATCCATTAGGTTATAATTATATAAGTATAATACTAGTAATTTTGAATTAATAAAACATACCTATTCCAATAGTTTTAAATTCATAATTTCTACAATGTGATTTACATTTTTAAACATAACTTCGAGTTAACTAATTATACAGTATTTTAGGTACGTTACGTTAATAATTTATAAAATATTATATTATGTTCAGGTAGATAACCTATGTCCTATGCAATAAAACACACTCGTTACTCACATATGGTATGTCGAAGGTTCACTAAAGCACTAAAGAACAAATCGTCTTATATAATGTGTGTGGTATGTACCAATAGTTTATCATAAATTATAGCACAACATCGGTGCCGATTTATAGCATAGAAAAACTTAAGTACCTTCAGCAAAACATCAAATCCATAGATCCATATACTGATATACTAGCTATACTGCAATGATTACCTATAATTTATATGTCTCTATTATGTCTCAATTATCAAACCACTTATGGAAAGACCAAGTATAAATCAGACTTTTTCTTTATTAAACAGAATGACAAGCCTTTGGGGGAAGATAGACTATGTAATATTAAAGTCTTATTTACTAACACGAGTTTTGGTCAAAAATTTATTAATTATATGGGTCCTGTCATTTTTAACGCCTTGCCAATTGATGTGAAAAAAAATATTTTTAATGATCAAATTAACATAAAAAAATGTATAAACAATATTTTATCTAGTGAACTAAGGCAATGTCTATTATAAGAAAATTGTATATTTTAGTATCTCTTAATTATTTTAATTATTTTACAATGTTGGTAATTATTTGTTAAATTAAGTAATTAATCAAATCATATATATATGTACTGTTACTCCCTACACCACCACAAGCCTAGCTTAAAGGTGTAGGTAATTTTTATTATTTTCTTTAAATACTTTGTTTGTATTGTGTTTTCAAATAATAAAAAAAAAAAAAAAAAAAAGATAAAAGAATATACATTTATAATATATTTTAATAAATAATAAACTATCAACATATTTAACTTATTTAAGCTAAGTTTAACCACTCGAACGATGAAAACTTGTGTGAACGTCACGATAGCGCAAATCGTATAAACATAATATTATACGTAGTGAGGTGTATTATATTATCATATTGTTTTCGTGGTTGGAGGCTCAGTGGCCAGTGAGTGAACAAACTTGAATTTACCGTATATTCACTAAACAACAATAAACACATTTAACTTAGCCATTATGATTTTACATACAAAAGGTTGTTCATCTTAATATAATAAAATATCCACTCAAATAATATTACAATAACATATTATATTACTGTACTTGTCACTTGAGCATCCCAGGCGTTAATATTCAATAAGATAAAAAAAATGATTATGTTGTTACCTATACCTATTTATTTGTAATAGATTTATCGTACGGACATATTTTTACTATTTCTTTATCGAAATAAAATAAGGATTGTATGCTGATCTACCAAAAATAATTACTATAAAAATAGTATAGAATATACGTAAGTACATAGTTTATTTCGAATATCATATTATATTGTAACGAATTCAAATCATGTTTAGAAAAGATATTATGTATATTATTTTGTTATATCATAAATTCATAAACTAGTGACATATATAAAAATAGGTGGGGGGAGCAATAAAAAAAATAGTGTTAAATATAATCAGTACACCAATTTCTATCGCTATATTATTTAAATTACACACATAATATCATATTAATATTATCATAGGCACTAACGTGCTCGTTTATTGTATAGGTATTTGTCTATGGAGTGTGGACGTGCCTATACTGATATAAAATCAGTGTCAATTTAACTTTAAAATAAACAATCGTCTCTGTGCCTATAAACAATATTAAAAAAAGGTGGGCAAGTGGGTGTCGCTCTGCTGTACAGTAGGTTACAAGTGGGTCACTGTATAATGGATGGTATTAAATTTGAATTCAATGATATAATATCATTGTATAAGAAAAACGATTCTGAGCGGTGACGGTATGTCAGTCTATGTACAAGACATATTATATACATATCTATGGTATTAAACAAAAAATTGACCTATAATAGGTACCTATAATAAATTCCAAACTAATCATATCACAATATCCATTAGATACTTATAACGCGTTATACATCAACAAAAACCGTGATACTATCATAGATATATAATAGTACACATTAGAAGTTTCAAGTACACAATAATATAATATAATATATTATATAATATATGTATAATATAATTTTCAAGCTTTTGCAACCAACAAATAAAATTTTATTGATATTTTTAGAAAAAAAACTAAAAAAAAATGGAAATGTATCTACAGTTATTCGTTTTTGAATTACAACAAAATAAGGAAATCGCTACATGAGAAATCGAGTGAAAATCCAATGTTGTAAAAATTTGAATTTCAAACGCTCATAAAAATTTAATTTGACTGTCCGGTAGAGATTTTTTTATTGATAAAGGTAGATAATCTTATAAGGAATCTTGTGTTTCATTTTCAAATCTTAGATTTAAAAAGAAAAATTTTTACGAATTCTTAACTCAAAATAATTTGCTAATTTTCGTGATTTTTCCATATTTTGTCAATTTTTGAACTTTAAATGCTTATAAAAAAAAATTGTGACTAAGGATTTTTAATATTTTTCATCTGCCTTTGAAACAATATATTAGGAGCCTTCTATTAAATTTTCAAGCTTTCGCAACCAATAAATAAAATTTTATTGATATTTTTAGAAAAAAAACTAAAAAAAAATGGAAAATGAAAATGTCCCTAAACAGTTCAAAATAAATCAAAATATTTTGAAAATGTTATCGTGTATAGAAAATGCAAATATAAACAACCAGTGAAAATTTCATGTATATACGTTCATTTGTTTTAGAGTTACACCAATAACCAAAATCGATTTTTTGGAAAACCAATTTTGCGTAAAAATTCCCGTTTTTCCTTAATTTTTATGTTGTTTTTCCCGGCGCTTGTGAAAACTACTGGGAAATTTATACTTTTGACCCCCCAAAGTACCAACTAGATTCACTTTCCTATCAGAAAAGCTACTGATGAAGAAAATCCAAGCACTTTTACTGTCCTAAAACGTGATGACAGACACAAAAATATAAATAAAAATATAAATAAAAATATAAAAACATACATCATTGTAAAACCATAATACATTCATCGCTCCGCTCAGAATCTAAAAATATAACGTCGCAATATTTATTAACAATATTACTTTTGGTATCGGACATCGGTTGGGTCGTGCCGTCGGGGTGAAATGTACAATATGAGTTCCGCGACGCACGTTCGGTATAATATATGACTACAGCCGACGAGACACTGACGTTCGGTGATGAAATTTTCGTCGGTGAAAATATAGTCGCCCAGGATTTATGAGCACAAAAATGAAGGCGTCGAGGACGTACGATCGAGGATCGGTCCACTGGAGCTACTGTTCGATGGGGAACACGTCATCATCGGCGTCGAACCGCAGACCGTCAGCGGTATATTACATTGGCGAAACGCTCGGCGAATAAGATTTTTAAAAGTGCCACGCCCGGTCACCGGGTGCGCTAGAGACGTAAGCTCGGTACGTTTTAAGGGAAAACGCATTTATGTTTTACAGACGTTTACTTACCTACCGGGTTATGTTTGCATTTTGTTATGATCGGATGAGCCTCCTCCGTTTTACACTTTCGATTAGCTTTATTTTTTCGAATGCATTTATCAACTATCTGTACAGTGTTTTCAGTGCGATATGTATTATGGTAGTTAAAAATATGTACGACATTCCTAGTTTTAACTTTTACTTACCTGTTACCTATGCGACGTTAGAGATTCGTTCAATCAGAGATCCGAATAAACTGAGAAAGAAACAGTCGTACATCCGATTATAAAATATATAGTACCGTCGCTATAATAGAACTTTCAAACTTAGTGTGTGTGGCTCATGATTTTTGAAGAACCGCAATTGACGTGAAAAATACTATCATTTCGAAAACAAATGTTACTCTGGTAAATTAGATTTGATCCAACATTTCTACCAGGGGAACAGATATATAAAATTAACGTTTGCCTTTTTATTTTATTGTTCAGTTGTTACTCTAGCAAGTTGTCTTCAGGCCAGTGGCGTCCGCAGGAGGGGGGGAGGCTAACGGGCTGAAGCCCCCCCCCAATTCCTGTAATCATATTACTTAAAAAAAAATATTTATCAAGTTTCAACTGTCAACTATAATAAGGAAGACGTAAATTTCATATACGTCCTACCAGAATAAATTCATTTTTGAAAAACCATTTGCATACCAATTTTTCTAAAATTATCTGTAATTTTTCGGTAAAAGTATGAACTATTTGTATGAAAGACCTTGTGTTAAATGTTCTAGTCTTAGCTAATACAAATTTAATATTTTATAAGTTTCGAACTAAAAATTAACTGTGGTTTTGAAAAAAATGTGAACTTTAAATGTTTATAAAAAAAAAAACAATGGTGCCTATGTATCGTTAATATTTTAGCAATAATAAAAACTTACGTATTACATTTTTAAGCTTTTTTATCGGATGAATAATTTTTATTGACATTTATAGATTATAGAAAAAAAAAATGTTAATTAATCAAATACAATCCAAGTGAGGACGATAAAAACACAGAATAGATATTTAATCTAATTTGTGGTATAACCAAGTTGGTTACCCAACAATTTTAATCAATTTTCATTTTTTTTTCTCTAATTATTTCAAAAAGCACTGAGAATTTTCAATCTCGGCCTCCTAAAAGTACCAACTAGATCCAATTTGCTCCCAAAAACATACACCGGGCATCGAAGCTTATGATCAGAGCATTTTTTCTTCCAGAAAAGTTGAAAAGTTACAAACATTTTAAAATACGCCACTGCTTCAGGTAAACACTTCCCAAGATTAACACGCGCTGATTATTCAGATTATTTGTATAACATCATAGATACAGTTTTTGGTTTTTTATACTCATATACACTCATAAAACGAATTAATTTGCAATAGGTACTTAGTACTGCAATAGTGCACGTATATTAAATAAAAATAGTCAAAATATTTAGTATAGTCATTGATCAGATAATTATTATTAAATCTAACTTTAATATTTCTACCCTTACTATTATTCGTAACACAAAATGATACAATATTTATCATTTATGATAATCATACACAAGCATTTTATTTTATTCACGTTTTGATTTGACAGTATAGAAAAACTTAGAAAATATGTGCTTCCAAAACATTTTTATGCCATAATAAATTATGGATGAGACGACAAACGCAATAAATAAAAATGTGTTAATTACATCAACTAACAAATATTGATACCACGTCAGATTCAGAGAGTGAGATTTTAAATGTGGCGCTCCGTTATGATGCAAAACGTACTCAGTCCAGTAAACTACCGACTCCGAGGGTGACATGGGCCGGTCTTTGAACCGATCGGATGCTATTTTAGCGTTTTGTTGGTACCTACGAGAACGGTGCAGAGTAATATTTAAACGTTTCATAGAATTTTATTGAAATAAAATGTCTCACCTGTTGTTGTTGACAATCTCCAAAATGGCGTTAAAAAACGTGTCTTTAGTTATAGAAAAAAGATCCATAGATATCGCCATTCCGGCGTCCACCAGATTGTCAATATTTCTTGGTTGATCGTAGAAAATCGGAAATCCGAGTAAAGGCACACCTGCGTCTACAGCTTCATATACTCCAGATATACCTCCATGACTGATAAACAGTTTCACATTAGGATGCACTACATGATAAATATAATAATACCGGATTACAATAACATTACCTATATTTCAGTATACAACTATAAATAGTCTACATAATACGCATGTTACGATTACCACATAACGGCACGTACAAAGTATATCGCGTTGTGGAAACCATTTCCGCATCATCACGTTCTTCGGTTTGTCTGCCATTTCACCTTCGTATTTCCACAATACCTTCTGCGGAACCTGAGCGATCGCCTCTTTTAACACTCTCAGTACACTTTCCGGTAACGATGCCATCGATACCACCGAACCGAACGTGAAATAAATCACTCCATTAGGCGCGTCGTCAATGAATTCCAAAATGTCCTGTCAACACGCATACCGATCGCACAATTATTTAATTCTTCAAAATTTAAATACATGTTATATCACAGGTTCCGTTCACTGCAGAATGGGCCTGCTCAGTTGCCCCTAAGATAGTGTTGCAAATTTGCACAGTAGGTTTAATTTCAAACATTTATATATTCTTAAGTTATAGCCTATAGGTACTCTGCGAGGTAAAAAATTATATTTCATACTGTGATCGTAGCAGTGGTGTATTGGAGGGTATACGCGGGTATACGTCGTATACCCGGATCCCTATTTTTGGATTTATGCGTATACCTTTAAGAAAATTAGTCTTTTATGGGTATACGCACGCTTCTAATTTATCATCAGACAATTTAGGCATATTATCACCAAACAAAAGTAAAAACTTAAAAATAATAATAATAATAACCTAAATTATATTTAGTTATAATATTTTATTATAACATAAAGTGCACTGTCCAAAAATACTAAAAATAGCCCCGTACCCGCATGAAGTTCGATTAAATTTTACCCGACGTTTTCTTGCGAAGACGATCGGAAACTGCCGAGCAATACAATCAATCAATGAACAATCAATGTACAGCGGTTCCCAAACTGTGAATAAACATACGTAATTTCATTTCAAACTAAATGATAATGACAAATTAGAATAATAATAAAATAATTATTGTTGATGTATTGTGTTATTACTTGTCATCCAATAACCAAATTATAAAATCGAACTATTAGTTTCTCATTATATTAATTCTATTAATTTTGAAATTCTTTTAAATTTGTAAAATATTTTATACAAATAAAATATATATAAATATTTGTATATAAATATATTATAATATTATATGATCGATAATGGATAATAAACGTACCGCTACTTCTACTATATAAGTATTTTACTAATTTACTGTACAATTGTTTTAAAATTTGATAATAAAAAGTTGTATTATTTATGATATATATCATACAGAATTGGGAACAAGTCTAGTTTACCGGGCACATATTTTTTTTGAAATTTTTTTTTTGAAAAGGGTTGTTTTGACGAGTTAAGAACGATGGTGCAAAAATAAAATTGCGGAAATGATTATTTTGGAAGTTATAGCTTCCCAAAGTTAACGAATTTACGTTTATACGCGTGCGCGCAACACTACTATAATGCCGCGCGGAGGACCTCGAGTTTGGCGACCGTTTGGCAACCCTTTTAAAAAAAAAATTTCAAAAAAAAAAGGTGCCCGGTAAACTAGACTTATACCATGAAATTGAATTAATTAAAAAAATAATAATACATTGATACTTGGTACATATTACACACAGTGGAGTATATATGAATTAATTTTATGGTTGTGGGTGAATATAGGGTGAACTGGGGGGGCGTATATAGGGGGGTATATATGCCACTGCATATACATATACACATGAAGAGTAAGTGTTTGTAATAAAGTTATAAGAGATTATTAAATACAAAGTGTAATCATTTTTTGAGCGGAGCGAGAAAATTTTTAAGGTAGATATATCGTATATATAGGTATATACTATATTCAACTACTTTTAGGTGCGTATACCCATAAATTTATTTACCAATACACCACTGGATCGTAGCAAAGTGTCATAACACAAAAACTCATAACTGAAATGAAATACGATAAAAACGAATACGAGTACTCAATACAGAATATACCAATTACCTGTTCGTTTAACGTGGCCTCTACTGGCTCTACTATAGTATATAAAATAACATACTCTTTTCTGCGAGAAAACATGCCGATTCTTCGCATACCCTAGCAATCAAGCGCTGCCTTCGAAACTGGTTAATTTATATCTGGGTGCAGCATGGGTATGCTCAGAAGAACTGATTTTCGTCGGTCCGTACCTATAGCATGTTCTCCCGCTGACCAGGGTATATTTAAACGTATTATAGACTATAGTTTAATATAATATACGAATTTTAATATAATATATTATGGTGCAGTTGATTACCTTTGGTATCGGTCCCGGCGGAGACAGATGTATGCCGCCGATTTGTACGACGTCTGGTGTCAGTGGCCTGGAAGGTTCAGTGATGAAGTGCGTGTTGGTGAAAGTCATCGACGGTCTGACCAGTTCCATGTCGTCGAACGGTTGGGGGGCGGAACGCCGGTGCCTCCGTTCGTTGTTCCACAACAGCCACGAACCGTAAATCATGTGCAGCGTATTGGTGAAACGTTCACAGAACGTTTTTGGCACGCCGCGCGGTGATAGCAAGTTGGAGACGACCGCGGGGTTGGGGACGTGACCGAAGAACCGACGCTCCACGTGCGTGACGATTGGCGAAGGGACGACATATATGGCAGGAACGCGGAGAACGGTGGCCGCGTACGACGCGCAATCCAACCAGAGCACCTCGGCGACCACAGCGTCGAATGGCCTCGACCGGCCGTTCAAAAGTGTTCGCATTCGTGGGTGTTCGAATATGGTTCTGCAGCTGGTCCGTGTTGAATTCACGATGTGAGCGATCATCGGGCTAGCGGACCTGGTAATTCTCGACAAATTCATTCCAACCCTCGACTTCAGGTCACCGGAAAGGTCCACCTCCGTGTAACCATCCCTGTCACCGTCCACGAACGGCGTGAACACGGTCACGGTGTGGCCGCGGTCAGTCAACGCCCGTAGCACGGCCCGCACCGGGTTCCAGTGGCTCTTGCTGTTAATCGTGTGGATTGCCAGGATGTTCGCTGCCCCGATCGACGGCTGCGGCGATATCAGCGCTTGACACACGCCAAGAGCGATCAAAAGAGCGCCGAAACGCGAAGTCATCGTGGTGCCGGGTCTTACCTATATTCTATAATGTGGTTTATATAATATTTAGAAACTGAAGTTACAGTTATTTTTTTGTACCAAGCTAACAAAGAAGTATCAGACTTCAATGTTTTGGTATAATATAATTATGTATGCTCCTAAAACTGCGTAAAACTGGTATACATATAAGTATATATTATTTTTTCACGTTATGTGTTGGGATTTGTGTTAGTGTTTTTTTTCTGTTTTGGTTTATGAATAATAGTTATTCAAATTTTTTAATAATTTCAATATTTTAAAATGTTTTAGTTAATTTTTTTTTTATGTACAATAATTTACACGTTTTTGTTTAATGTATTATTATTTATAATATATATTAATTTAGTTATACAAATAAAAATACCTACTCATAGAACTTGAACACAGAAATTTAATATTCTGAACAAAACTTAACTTCAAATACAATCGATATAGAGATTAATATTTTAAACAATACGGACATTTAAATTTTAACAAAATATACTAACATCAATAGAAATCTATTTAAGTATATAGGTACCTACATACAATGTATATTGATGTATTACTCCACTCAGAATCCAAAAGACTTGCCGGGTTACATTAACAATTACATTAAAATCGTTTAGTATCATTGTATCAACTATACAATAATTAACATTGATTTATTATACTCTGATACTCTATAGTGTACAGGCCAGTACAGCGTGATGCGTGAATACATGTATTACTGTATTAGTAAGTAATTTCGGAATTAGATGTTCGATATTGAGTTTACTACCGTTGAAGTTGAAATAAACCATAATAATTCATTTCTCAGTTTGCTTATAGAAAGACACATAATTTCTTATTATGTATATTACCAGGTGATTCTTTTGTCAAAAAATATTAACGGTAACAGATTAAAATAGAAAAAAGTCACAACTATTTTAACATGATTTTTCTGTCCAGTAAATTATATTTGTTTAAGTTACTTCTAGTCCAGACTTCAGAATGACGTGACATCTATGAGGGATTGATACCACACCACGGGCTACAACTACACGATAATGTCGGACTCTCCCTCCACGCCACAAAGGCACAAGTCGGGAAGACAAGTCGGGCAGGACGAGTACCCGCCGCCGGCGATATCCCTCCCTCGTATACACACCGTCGTCATGACAACTTGTCGTCGTCCACGTCGTACCTCATATTGTTTTTGTACCACGTTACCTACTTACGCACATACTGCAGGCATAAGTGTATGTCATTATTAAACATTAAATCGTGTTGTGTGAATCCAACCTCATTGGTAGTAATAACGTAGACATTTAAGTATACAATTTTCATAAAAAAAAAACCCATAACAATTTAACTGTTTACTTGTTTTATAAGTTATAACAATTTATATAGAAGGAAACAATGCAAATGAGCTCACATTCGTGGTCGTTATGCATCCTGTCAAGACAGGATCTAGAGTGGGGTTTGGAGGATTTATGGAGGTATACGCCGATAATAGACAATGATAATGAGATTACCGATCGGCACATGCGGCGGTGAATCAGCGACGGCTACGGCAAAAGCTGCTGCGGCAAGGCGATGACACGCGGGTCGCGGGTGAACGGGGGGCGGCGGCGGCTACGGACGACGGTGAGTGACCGGATTACGTCATGCGCAAGTTACATAATCACGGCACTAAGAGCAGCGTCGCAAGAGGGATATATGCTCATACAATAATAATATTGACGGCGAACAACGATACGTGGTTTACCGGTCGCGTGGCACGAATTGTGGCTCGTCGGAATCAGACTAATGAGCCGAAACGAAATAATAATACGAGCGCGAAACAATATGAAATGCGAACATGCTCGGATTAACCGCACTACACGAGGTTGTCGCTAAAAGGCACAAAGACAACGGCCGGACTTGACGCACGCACAACACGGCTCGATTCAAGCGTACGACAAAGACAAGTTTAGTGGCCGGCGGCGACTCGACCGGAGCCCGGCGCGGCGTCTTCGGGCCGCGCGATGCGCAGTCTCGCGGACCGGTTGCCAAATGTTCGCTGAAAGCGGCGGGAAGCTCAAACAATTTTACCATCTTATACATTTTTAACAACAAAATCATTTTTCAACTTTCAATTTGATACATTTTGTCAAAATGTGTAAAATTTGTATTGCGAGGTAGGTATATTTGATTTTTTAATAATACTTTCTTATAAATATTGTGGACAGTGGACTAAATTTTAAATTTGTCAAATTTATTTCTTTAAACTCCGGGAGTCCAATTTTTGACACATTTATTAGGCGGCCAGGCGCCGGTGTAGATTATATAAATAACATTTTTTTTTTTTTTTTTTTTGGTAAGAATTTTTTATGAGTACTTACCTATTCTTGGTCTTTTTGCATTGCATGCCTATGATACGGGAATTTTCCGTCATTTACTCATTTTTTTCAATCAATGATAACTATTAATTTTTGTAATTTTTTTATAGCTTAGATTTGTATGTTATCATACATTTTGACAATAATTAAAATAATGTATCATCGTGATCTGTGTTCTTAACAAAATGTTCACAAATAAATAACTACAACTAAACAATTAAAAAAGTAGGTAAGTGGATGTCACTCTGCTGTACAGTAAGTTACAAGTGGGCAGGGCTTCGCGCTTTTTGCTTATATTTGGAGGCCTCACGTTTGAAAAAAGTGGTAAAATTTGTTTAAAAATTGGTTTTAGGTAATGATTTTAAGTAATGGATGGTGTTAAATTTGAATCCAATGATATAATATCATTATATAAGAAAAATGATTCTGAACGAAAACGGTCAGTCAGCCTATGATATTATCAAGTATATTTGATGATATTATTGTGAATAAAGTAATTTACGTGGAACCTTGCTATACATTTTCAATCCTTAGCTATAAAAGTTGAACATTTTATACATTTTTAACTAAAAAATACTTATTGAATAATATATTTGATAAATTTTGTCAAAATTCGAATTTTAAATGTTTATAAAAAAAATTGTGCTTATGTACTTTTAAATTCTTAACTCATATTGTAACAATAAGTATATCAGGAGCCTTGCATTCAATATTCACGCACAACAGTGAAAACATTTCTTTTGGAGTTATCACATTTTGTTCATGAGAACCATGATAATAAAGTTGATAAACATTTTCTGGAGGTAAAATAATTGTTGGTCATCAACTGAGTTTGCTTTTTCATAATATAACCAATTTATTACATCAACAACTTATAAATATAGTTATAATTAGATTATTGTAGTTATTGGTCAATGAAACTTATTTCGAAATTTTGTATCCCAACTTTTACGGTATATATAGGTACCTACTATAAAACTAACATAGACCTTTAATAGTGGCACAGCGTGTACAAAATATGTATAATATGTATAAGCGACGGTGTTTCCAAATTGAGTTTGAAAATCATTATATAGGTACTAGGTCGAATTGCGTGCGTGGTTTTTTCGCGACTGAGCCGAGTTGCGTGCGGGATTAGTCTATCGACAAATCCAAGGCTGGGCAAGTTAATGTTTTTTTTTAACTCATTAAGTTAAGTTATTTTAAAATAATTAAGTTAAGTTAAGTTAAAAGTTACTCGTATTTTTTATCGTTAACTCGTTAAGTTAAAAGTTAACTTTGAAAAAAAAGTAACTTAACTTAGTGTAAAGTTAAAATTTGCTAATTTGCAAAAATAGAAAATTCCAGACACATAATGTGGTTTATTAGATAGTTTTTCTTTACGTCTAAGAAAATTACTGGGGAAATTTAAAATGATACATCAAAGTAAAAACACATTAAAAAATTTATATTATTCTTCGGAAGAAAATTAACTTAATTTAGATATTTTTGAAATAAAATTAACTTGAAGTTAACACGTTAATCTTGAAAAAAAGTAACTTATTAAGTTAAAAGTTGATTTGAAAAAAAAGTAACGAGTTAATTAACTTAACGTTTTAACTTAATTTTAATTTTTAACTCGTTAATGCCCAGCCTTGGACAAATCAAGTTGTTTAGACAGATTTTGATCCAAATTGATCCAAATTGCAGTATAAATTCAGTTAAATATTTACTTTATTACACAATACAGGGTATACACACATTATAAACAAACAAAATATAATACAATATGTATATATTTTTTTAAATTTAAATTATAGAAGGCAATATATTAAATTATATGATGTAAAAACTTCACTTTGAATACAATTCGATAGAATTTAGTATAATTAACAACTAAAATATAAATCGTACAGTATAAAACTTTAACATTTGTACATTTTTAAAAGTACCTACATGACTTGTATATAAGTAACTTATAATGTAATTTTAAGTATAATAATATATGTCTAGATAGATACCTATTCAATACAAAACACTCATTACCCACCTGAAATGTTGAAGTCATCTGATCACTACAAAATAAATCATCGTAGCTACCAATATAGTTTAATATAATAACTAATAATAAACTAATAATTATAATATCATATATTAACCTGGTCATGATACCACAAAGTGTATACCTGAGTAATGAACTGTATTATCACATCATTTTCGTGGTTTCGGGCTCAGTACCAATGTAAGTTAACTTAGCTTGAATAGACAGTATAGTCAATAAACAAAAAAAAAAAATATTTTATCCATATAAATAAATATTAAATGCTGTTCATTGGTAATCGCATTACATAAGAATGGCTGAACCACAAATATGAAAGTTGAATGTATGTTTGTACCTTATATACTCAATTTTTTTTTAAGAAAAAACTACCAGACTTAAAAAAACATTTTTCTAAAAATAAAGTTTACGAAATCTCAGCTATTTATAATTTGTTTTTTTTTTAAATTTATAAAATTTAAATCTTTATTTTTAGTAGGTAATAAAAATAAAAATAAACAAATGTATATACTGTGCTTGTACAGCATCTACATATAATATTTATGTACACATAAAAAAATTAAACATCGATTATATCAAAAGTTATTTCATTTGTCAGGACATTTAACAAATGTAACAAATCACAACACAAACAATTTTGATATTAATATACATTTTATTAAGAGGACACTACACGGACATTTATTGTTTCTTTCTTAATAGTGCGTATAACATGAAAAATTTTAGCGCTCAGCAGATCATGTTTAGCTCCTTTAGTTTAAAAAATAGAGTGAATTGACCTCTTATGCAATTTAAAGGTAAGATTATTAACTAAAGCGTCTTATAAGTTTTCATTATAATATAAATTTGAAGCGAGCTATATATGAGTATTTTAAAATTATAAATTGCATGTACATCTTAAAATACTCATAATACTAGCTTTCAAATTAAAATATATCAAAATTCCTATAAGTTGCCTTAGATAATAATCTTACCTTTAAATTGTATTGGAGGTCAATTTACTCCAGTTAGATTTAGGTACTATGTTACGCGCTTGCAGTAAGACGGGAACAACAAAATCTGTGTAGTGTCCTCTTAAATTCCAAAAGCATTAGAGGAAAAATAACAACCAAGCATAGCATTCGGAGAATACAACGGTTATAAATACTTATAATGTAACAACATATACATCCCACATAAATTGGAACAAGTAAAATATTTAAATATATATTATTTGCGTAATTATATTTCATTCTCGTTTTTTTTTCAAACTATGAAAAAATTTATGAATTTGTTTACAAATGATTTTTAGGCTATAGTAAATTATGAACAAAACAACAAAAGCAATAAATAAAAATGTACTTATTACATCAACCAAAAAATATTGATACCACGTCAGATCAAGAGCATGAGATTTTAAATGTGGTGCTCCTTTATGGCGTAGGACGTACTCTGTCCAGTAAACCACCGATTCTGCAGTTGACATAGGTCGGTCTCTGAACCGTTCGGAAGCGATTTTAGCGTTTTTCTGGTACCTGCGGTTAACACACGAATGCGGTGTAATTTTTTACGTTTCATTGAAGGATCTAAAATTGCTCACCTATCGTTGTTAACAATCTCCAAAATGGCGGTTAACAGCGTATCTTCTGTAACAGATAACAGGTCCATACCAATCGCCATCCCAGCGTTGACCAAACTGTCAATATTTCTAGGTTGGTCGTTGTAAAATGGAAAACCGAGTACAGGTACACCAGCATCCAAAGCTTCGTACACTCCGGATATGCCTCCATGACTTATGAATAGTTTGACATTAGGATGCACTATACATAATGAAAATTGGATTGATAACATAACGTTACACAATTAATAATATCGAATGTGAAACGATCAATTGTGTCTATAGATTATCATCTAGTTTCTACATGTCATTATTTCAATAGTTATCAATATCATAGTGCGTACAAAGGATGTCCCGCTGCGGAAACCATTTCAGGGTCATCACATTCTTCGGTTTGTCTTTCATTTCGCCTTCGTATTTCCACAGCACCTTCTGCGGAACTCGAGCTAGCGCAGCGTAGAACGCGAGCTGAACAGTTTCTGGTAACGATGTCATCAAAATAATAGAACCAAACGATAAGCAAATCACCCCATGAGGCGCTTCGTCAATGAATTCTAAAATGTCCTGTGAATAAATAAACAAGTTATATTAAAAGATTTAAAAATCACTTCATGTTGAGTATAAATGAGTAGGAACTAGTTTCTGAACAAACGCGGCATAATTAAATTACAATCGCTTTCCGTGAGCGTGTCCATGAACCACATTCATAAAGTACGAATAAACAATATGACTAATAGCCCCCCTAAAATATATAATCAACCTCCCCTAAATAGGAGACGGGTAGTAGATTAGTGTAAAAGTCTTATAATTGAGGTGGCTACTAAAATATAAAATTTAATTTTCAAATTTTATAGAACTGTGCAAAATTTGAAAAAAAACTGGAAAGTCGTATACGCATGTGTATTGTAATTTTTATAGGAGAATATAACTGTGCTCTAGTGGAGAACTTTTCCACATTTTATTTTGCAATGAGTTATATATGTTAATATGTATTTGAATAGGTACCTAATTAATTTGTCAGTATTTAAATAATTTCAAATTCATATCGTGTGTGCACTATCCTCCTTAATTATTATTATAAATTTACTCTTTCGCATAAATTTTATAAAAAATGTATTTCGAATCCATTAGGTACCTACGTAGGTTTACTATGTTACGCGTTTGTAAGATAAATACAACACAGAACACACACAAGTCCTAATACCTAGGAGTTACAAACGTACAACAAAAAGCAAATTTTGTAATTAGCAAAACCAATTAGGCGTTCTTAATTACAAATTTTAATAATATACTGATTAAACCTATTATTAAAAATTTTTTTTTATTATTATTATTGGTTTTATATTATACCTACAAGAGTCTACAACCTGCTATAATATTAGAATATGTATCATAATAATATATAAAGTTAATGACATTAATGTATTCATATTACATGATAATAAATGGATAAAAAAGAGCCGCTTCGTGGCCTGCAGCTGATCATCGAACTTAAATTTAGCAACACAAAATTATCTCTGTTGAACAAAACATTCGTTGTACGTTTATAAGACTACACCATGTTTATGCAACCGGGATTAACTTTCGGAGGGGGAGGTCACAACTTCCAAATCCCCTCTAGTTGCTCCTCTGATAGCGCCCTAAGAGTATTACCTTAGGTATAGGGTTGGGCGGAGTCAGGTGAATTCCGCCGATTTGGACAACGTCCGACGTCAGGGGCCTAGACGGTTCTGTGATGAAATGCGAGTTGATAAAAATCATAGACGGTCGGGCCATTTCCACGGAATCGTACGGTCGCGGGTCAGCCTGTCGGTCCCGCAGCTCGGAGTACCACTTCAGCGTCGAACAGTATACCGTCAGCGCCACGTTAGCGAAACGTTCGGTGAAAGTTTTGAGCGTGCCTAGGTGAGACATCGCGTGCCCCGAGACCGCCGGGTTCGGGACGTGTCCGGTCAACGAACGTTCCAGATACGTGACCACTGGAAGTGGGACGATGTACACCATGGACACGCCGAGCACGGTGGCCACGTACGCCACGCACTCGGACCCCAAAGGTTCGGTGATGACCAAGTCGAATTTCCCCGTCTCCACCCCGTCCATGATTTCCACCATCCGTGGATGTTCGTAAATTTTGTCACAGCTCGCTCGAGTGTAGCGCATGATGTTCGACATCATGTTCCGCATGGAGCCGTAATTTTGGATTATGAACGTCGCGTTCACGCCGAGTATCGGTACCATTTGTTCGGACACGTCCACCTCCGTGTAACCGTCCCGGTCACCTTCCGCGAATGGAGTGAACACGGTCAAGTGGTGACCGCGGTCAGTCAACGCCTGCAGCACCGCTCGCATCACGTTCCAGTGGCTCTTGCCCGGAATCGTCTGAACCGCCAGGATGTTTGCAGCACCCGCCGGTGACCACTGGATGGTTGAGTAACACGCAAAAAACGCAACCAACATTGTCCCGAAACTGGACATGTTTTTTTCTCAATTTCTCATGTACCTACCTATTGTTTCAGTTTTTCGCGAGTCTGTGATGCATACAGAAGTGTGACAAATAGTATTATTATTTATTATTATTATTTTTACCTATCATCAACGGCGGAGGTGATATAATAAAAACAAAACCCACTCAAGTAACTAACTTGAGTTCACTTAATACAACATAAGTGAACTCAAGGTCGATATGACGTTAGAAGTTAATAATAAACAAATAATACATTTTACTCGATAAAAGTTAAGTTAGTATGGGAAAATTTTAGTTTTATTCAGTATAAAAAACAATTTATTTACTTATAAGCATTTGATTAGTGTTTGAGTGTGTGGTGGATCATATTATACAAAATATTATGTAGGTACATCATTATATAATATTTTTTTATCAGGAAACAACTGTAATTATAACATAATTACTATTATTCTAACATTATTGATTATTTTTATCTAAAGCAGTGTATACAGTACTTTGGTAATTTATTAATGTATGAAACCATTAACACCAACAATTTGAAAAATATTTTTTATTTATAAACTAAGAATAATTGTATAATCGATTGAAAAAGGAAAGGTATTTCAACAGTAAATTAAATTGTTTATAAAGTTTTAAAAAATTAACTTTTTAAGTATAGTTCATGCCATCCTTTGATTAACGATAGGTATATCATTATTACATCTGTATTATTATAATTATTGTTATTCCAGACACAAGCTCCACCGATAATCCAAATATTATGTTTTATTAATTTTAACCATGATTGTCAATCATTTAAAATATATATATGCTACCTATCAAAGATAAATTTTACTTACTTATGAAATGTTAGAGATGCACTCGTTCAATTAAAGATCAAAAAATAAACTAAAGCAATAATACCACAGAACAAAGGTTTACGATAATAACATAGTTATTGTTAATACCTAATACCTATACAATTTATTATGTATTTATTTATTTCATACGGAGTAAACTCCATTGATACTTATCAGCTATATTAAAACTGATTAACCTACATTCTACATAATGAATCATATTATTTTACAGTGTGTTTAAAAAGTTTGGAAATGGTAGTTTTCTATTGAACATATTTTATTTATAATTGGTGTATATTAATAAGGAGTAAGGACCATAAAACTCATAATATGTTAATACTTTTGAAAATCACACCATTTATTCATGAGTTTATTATCAAATATATTTATTTTTAAATATTAACAACAATTATTTTTTGTATTCTAATATACATTTAAGAAAATATATCATTAGAAGTCAGGCTTTTAGTTTTTAATAAGCTATACTTCGAAAATAAATCATCAAAAATTGGAAAAAAACTTTATGAATGGTTTTAACATTTATGTTGTACTTTATACTATATTGCATATTACAATACCTACATAGAAAAATCATAGATAACTCTACTGTTATGTTGTGAATTGTGATCTTATTACCTCATTAATCATATTATCAATTATGCAATTGCCAGTCCCATTTTATTAGAAAAAATCATGTTTTCTACTTCGAAAGTTAAGCTCGAGTATTTAAAATGTAATTTATTTTATAGAGTTTTACACAATTTTATTTTATGGTATAATATAAGTTATAAGAAGAAACGAATTTATCTATTTATGGTACCATGAAATGGCTTGGCTAGGAATTATTAATATTCAGCATACTCTGAACACAACTTATGGCCCCGAGTGAGGAGTCTATTGACTAATGAGTAGGTAATGATTATTATAGTCACATGTATTATAATAATTCATAATTATTATTAACTTGTAAGTTAAATTAAATTAATATACTTTTTATTTACGACTTATTATAGACTATAGTGATAATGTACGGTATGGTACATTTATAACACAGGATTGATTAAATGTTTTCCTCTGTGTAAACTACCAATACAAATTTGAAAGAAATAGGTACTCCAGTTCTACCACAGTATACCATAGTATACCATAGATAGGTGTAAACAATTATCAAAAACCTGAAGAAAAAAATAATATTATTTTGTTGTACTTTATACACTAAACCTATTGCATATTACAATACTTACCTAGGTACATAGATAAATCACAGATAACACAACTCTTATTTTTTTTTATTTAAAGAAAAGCAAATATACAATTATAAATTTGAATTATCTATATTCTGTAAGCTGTGCTTGTAACGAAGATAGAAAGTTACAAAATTAATACTTATAATTAAAAACTAAAACTATAACTACAATTATTACGTAATTATGCAATAGAGAAAGAGAGAAAAAAGCAAAAAAAAAGGAAGAATGAACATTTTCAAAAACAAAAATAATTAAAGTTAACCTGAGTTATATTTAAAGATACAAATAACCATTCTACAATTATTCTTTTGACATTATTATGTTTGCAATTAATATAAATATTCTTCTCTATAGAGAAAGGCGCAGAATTATAATATTTAGGACCAAGTTAATTAACACATTTTTGACCAATTAATTTTTCAAATAGTTTTTTCTTATTATTATGTGATACGAATTTATTAGGTTTAATTAATAAAACTAATGATGCTATAAACATCATTAATCTTATAAATTATTGAACTGTCAGTCCTATTTTAGTAATATTAATAATAGGTTATAAGTAAAACGAATGTATACATAATATAGTATGCCATATGGTATTATTGTACCGTGAAATGGATAGGCTAGGATTATATCATATTTCTCTGAACACAACCTCTAGTACCGGGCACCGGCTACAGAAACTACAAATTACTATTATAGTTATTCGTTTTATAATAATTCATAGTTATAAACTTATAATTAAAATAAAATAATATAAAGCTTATATGTGATAATATAGTCGATTTGGGTATTGCAGCGACCATATAAGGGAAATTGGTACGATTGTAACATTTGTAACAATATTATATGATAATTCGCACTGATGATTCCAACTGATGAGGTATACTCATCACAACTTTAACAATTGCAATGAAAAAATTATGGTGCTGATAAAAAGTTACTCGGTAGATGACCGTGCTCTAGCCTAATAGATTATAGAGATGATTATTATGAATTATGATCTTGGTAAAGAAAGAGTGTTAACGATAACAAACTAATTATCTACTACTAAACTATAAATAAAAATAAAACTATAAATAATTATATTAAATAATATATTGATACAGAATCGTCGATGTGCACAATTTTCGACGGCGGAAAATAATATCCGCATCATAACAAAAATATATATTATTCAGTATAGGTATTCAATAGTGTCACGAATGTCACTGATTATTCAGTATATTTCAGTGTAGTTTTATATATTATTCACGTTTTGCTTTGAGATTATCGAAATATTTATTAATGTGTTTAAAAATTATTTTTAGGCCATAATAAATTATGAACAAAATGACAAACGCAATGAATAATAATGTGCAAATAACATCAACCAAATAATATTGATACCACGTCAGATCAAGAGCGTGAGATTTTAAATTTGGTGCTCCGTTATGACGTAAAACGTACTCGGTCCAGTACACAACCGACTCCGCTGGTGACATGGGTCGGTCTTTGAACCGTTCGGAAGCGATTTTAGCGTTTTTCTGGTACCTGAAGACGTAAAACAATGATTAATTATTTGCCAGTTTATGGAGGGACATACATTTTCTCACCTCTTATCGTTTACAATCTCCAAGACGGCGTTTAAAAACGTCTCTTCGGTGACAGATAACAGGTCCATAGATATCGCCATTCCTGTGTCGACTAGATTGTCAATATTTCTTGGTTGGTCGTTGTAAATGGGAAAACCCAGTAGAGGCACACCGGCGTCCACGGCTTCGAACACTCCGGATATTCCTCCGTGACTGATAAAAAGTTTCACTTTGGGATGCACTACATGATAAATTTGGAATGCATAACATTTTACAATCAATCATATAATAATATTATAGTTCTGCAATTTAAAACTATATTGTCGTGATTTGTATAGAGCCCTTACAAAGTATGTCGCGTTGTGGAATCCATTTCCTCGTCATCACATTCTTCGGTTTGTCTTTCATTTCACCTTCGTATTTCCACAACACCTTTTGTGGAACCCTAGCCAGCGCCTTTCGGAACGCGCTCTGAATACTTTCCGGTAACGACGACATCGAAACCATAGATCCAAACGAAAAGTAAATTACGCCGTGAGTTGCGTTTTCAATGAATTCTAAAATATCCTATACGACCATAAAAACCAGTTGTATTAAAAAAAAACTTTAAAAAAAAATCAAAACGCAGGTACAACTTCGTATAACGAACAAACGAGTACGCTGTACGTATTTAACGGGTAGGTGTTTATACCAGGTACCTATGTGTAAATTAAATGAATATAATTTATATACTAACAGTACCTATGGTAATTTATGTTGAGAGGACGCTACACCCACGAGCGTTGTACTGTCGTACCCAACTTATTTGAAACCCAAAAGTTGTAGTTAAGGTACTTTCACTACAAACTTTACTCAATTGTTTGTTAATTAATGTAAAATCGACAAATCCAAGAGTATGTAATTGGGTATGTAGTATATAGGTATAATATATACCATGTATGTGTAAATGAAAATAATATATACTAACATATACCTGTGGTAATTTATATTAAGAGGACCCCACACCGACAACTGTTATACTGTTGTACCTAACTTATTATAAACCCAAAAGTTGAAGTTAATTTTTAAAATAGTTAGGTACTTTAATTTTAACTTTTTAACTTAACTAGATATAGTTACATTCACTGCAAACTTTACTCAATAATTTATTAATTAATGTGAGATCGACAAATTAAATTTTAGTTTTATTTTGTTATATTTTAATAGTTTAGACTTTTAGAGTAAAGTATTGGGGCCATGCCAAGGCTTTTTTGTTTTTTTTTTAAATTTTGAAACAATTTATAATACCAGAAAAATCTTAATATGTGAAGGGAAAATATTAACACTTGATGATAAGTCAAATTTTAAAAATAATTCAGTTAAACGGAGACTCCTTAACATAAGATTTGCTATTTCATGAGTTGGTAAAATTGAGTCAATTCATGTGGATACGTCGTACTCATAATTATATTTTACCTTTGGTATCGGTTTCGGCGCTGTCAGGTGTATACCTCCGATTTGGACAACGTCCGGTGTCAGCGATCTAGCCGGTTCGATGATGAAATGCGTGTTGCTGAAAATCAACGATGGTTTGACTAGGTCTACGGAGTCGTAAGGTCGATGGCCGGCAAGCTGCAGCTGTCGTTCAGCGTACCACTTTATCGCTGAACAGTAGACGGTCGACACAACGTTGACGAAACGCTGAGCAAACGTTTTGGGTGTGCCGTGGCTAGACAACAAGTGCCCTGTGGACGCCGGATTTGGGGCGTGGCCGGTCAACGATCGTTCCAGGAACGTGACGATCGGGAACGGGACGACGTACACCATGGGAACGTGGAGCACGGTGGCCGTGTACGCCACGCACTCGGACGCCATCGGTTCAGTGATGACCAAATCGAACTTCCGCGCATCCACCCCGTCCAAGATGTTCACCATCCGTTGGTCACCGTTCATCATGTCGCAACTCATCCGGCTATAGTTTAGCATGCTCGGCAACGTTTTCCGCATGGAGGCAAACTTTTCGATCAGGAACGTCGCGTCCATGGCGAGGAACACTACAGCTTTCTCAGACACGTCCACCTCCGTGTACCCGGGACGGTCACCGTCTACAAACGGCGTGAACACGGTTACCGTGTGGCCGCGGTCAGTCAACGCCCGCAACACAGCCCTCATCACGTTCCAGTGGCTCTTGCCCGCGATCGACTGCACCGCCAGGATGTTTGCGGCGCCGACAGGCGTCCACAGGAGCAGTGCGGACCATGTGCTCAACGCAATCAACAACGCCAAGAAACACGACATAATAATGATTTTTCCCCGTTCCAGTATTCGCTGTCAAACGATATAATATTGTATCATATTAATTATTTATTTAATTTAATTTTCTATTTTTTTAACTAAAAATGCAAAAAAATAATATAAAAAGGTTCTCTGGTGTACAGTAGGTTACAACTGGATCACTGTATAATTAATGGTATTATATTTGAATTCAACGATATAATATAATTTTATAAGAAAAACGATTATGAGTGGAGATGGCATGTCAGTCTAGGTTTAAAACATATTATATATTTATCTGTGGTATTAAAAAAAAATGACCAATAATAGGTAAATATAATAAATTCCAAATTAATCATACCACAATACCCATTACGTACTTATAACGCGTTATACATCAACAACAAACCCTGATACTTTATTGCTATTTATAGAAAAAAAAACTAAAAAAATTAAAAACTGAAAATGTCCGTTAACAGCTCAAAAAGAGACAAAATATTTTCAAAATTGTATGGTGTATAGGAAATGCTAATATAAACATTCAGTGAAATTTCCATGTATCTACAGTAATTCGTTTTTGAATTACAACAAAATAAGGAAATCGCTACATAAGAAATCTAGTGAATATCCAATATTGTAAAATTATGAACTTTAAATGCTCATAAAAATTTTATTTGACTTTCCGGTAGAGATTTTTTTATTGATAAAGGTAGACAAATTTATGAGTAATCTTGTATTAAATTTTCAAATCTTAGATTTAAAAAGAAATATTTTTACGAATTCTAACTCAAAATAATTTGCTAATTTTTGTGATTTTCCCATATTTTGTCAATTTTTGAACTTTAAATGCTTATTAAAAAAAAATTGTGACTAAGGATTTTTAATATTTTTCATCTGCCTTTGAAACATTATACTAGGAGCCTTCTATTAAATTGTCAAGCTTTCGAAACCAACAAATAAAATTTTATTGATATTTTTACTATTTTTAAACAAATCATAATATTTTGAAAATTTTATAGTGTATAGAAAATGCAAATATAAACAACCAGTTAAAATTTCATGTATTTAAGATAATTTGTTTTAGAGTTACACCAAAAGCCAAAATCGATTTTGTCAAAAACCAATTTTGCGTAAAAATTCCCGTTTTGTTTTTCTGGGCGCTTTTGAAAACTGTTGGGAATTTTAAATTTTGACCTACTCAATGCACTAACGGTATTCACTTTCCCATCGAACAAGATACTTAAGTTTGAAATCGAAGCATTATTTCGACTACTTATTATCGTGTACACAGACACAAAAATAAATAAATAAATAAAAAACACACATCATTGTAAAATTAATACATTCATCGTTCCACTCAGAATCTAAAATAGCAATAAATTATATTTATTCAATTTTTAATTTAACATTTCAAACCTAATGCAATAGTTTTATAAATTCGTCGTCTTTACAGTAGGTATACTTAACATTTTTAAGTTCAGTGCAGTATGTATAAAGTGTTTTTGGTGCGTTACAATAAGTTAAAATATATATTATAATATTATATATCTAGGGTAAATCGATATATATATACCATCAGAGATCTATATAATATAATACACTTGTTACTCACATGAAATGTTGAAAGATTAGGTACTCGAACACTGAACAGAAATCGTCGTAAATACACGACCAACTAACATACTTATATTAATTATTACCTATGTAATAAATGTCAAATGCATTGAGCTATAAGTAATCAAAATCTTTAGTGTTTTTTTTTTAATGATGAACATATTAACTACCAACCTATAAATTATAATATCTCATTTTTCAGTCCACTTGTAGACAGTCGCTTGTTCAGTTTAAAAGATAAAACAAACAATTGACAAACATTTATAAAAGATAAAAAAAAATCTATTATTAGTCTATGCGTAACAATATAATTTTTGATTTGTTATATTAATCCATATTTTTTTATTGAGTATCAACCATTTGAAAAACTTGTAACATTTACTTTGACTCTGGCATTCAAGCCGTTATTGCTGATCTGAAAATATTTAAATATGGCAAGCCAAAATTAAATTATGCTACATAATATTATTCTAAAATAGGTAACCATAAATTCTCTATGTTTATGTGGAAATTCAATATTAATCAATACCAATAATTTCAAATATTATGCACATTAACAATGATAGTATTGTCAACGGATCATTGCACAATCATCAAATTTTTTTTTATAAGTCTTTAATATTTAAACGTAATATGCAACACATGATGTTGTGCAAATTACCTATATTTTTCGTTCAAAGAGTAGGTTTATACTTTATAATATGATGTGCAACGTGCAAGTGATATTAAATATTATTTTGCAACAAATGATAATATGAATACTAAAAATATTAGAATCGTGTAATTGCCAAATAATGGCCCGAGTGTTTGGGAATTATGACGAAAAACGTAGGTAGGTAGGTAGGTACTAGGTACTCGGTCCAGTAAACCACCGATTCATGCATCACCCAAAACCTACAAAATACGCAAAACGATCTATTTTATCAAAATAAAATTAATAAAAACACTATATAATATGTGTTGTAATAAAATCACATGAAAGGTTTAGAATAATTTAATGTAATAAATCATAACACAATAAATATAAAGAAATTATTTAATAAAATATAATATATATTACTATTAGGTATCTATGTAATTGTATATTATATTCACGTTTCGCTTTTATATAATTGAAATATTAAAACAATTGTTTATGCATAATTTTTAGGCAATAATAATCTACGAACAAAACGATGAGCACAATAAATAATAATGTGTACATTACATCAACCAAAAAATATTGATACCAAGACAGATTCAGTACGTGAGATTTTAAATGTGGCGCTCCGTGATGGCGTATTACGTACTCAGTTCAGTAAACCACAGAGTCTGCGGATGACATGGGCCCGTCTTTGAACCGTTCTGAAGCGATTTTACATAAACGTTCAAAGATGAATATTATGATTTTATTTTCGAAAAATGGAACAATTATTACTTTCCATCGTTGACAATCTGTAAAACGGCGTTTAACAACGTCTCTTCGGTAACAGACAACAAATCCATAGATAACGCCATCCCGGCGTTGACAAGATTGTCAATATTTCTGGGTTGGTCGTAGGAAAACGGAAATCCGAGTACAGGCACACCCGCGTCCACAGCTTCGTACACTCCGGATATGTCTCCATGACTTATGAACAGTTTGACATTGGGATGCACTCAGGCGCGGACTGGTAAAATAGGGCACAGGATGCTACACAATTTAAAGGGCAAATAACAAAAATTGTTGGGCAAATGTAAAACATGTAGATTATTTATCAAATATTAATATATTTTATTTTGTTTAAAAAAGTATTGAATATACTTTAAAAACGTAAATAAATAATAAGTTACAACTAACTTTCAATCAAAATTGTACAATATTATAGATTACTAGTAATTGTAAATTGGTAACAATCTGCTGTTCATAAGGTGTCTAGAGTCTTTAAATATATAATAAATAATATTAGGCAAATATATTTTAGGGCAAGGGATGCTGTAACATCCCAGCACCCCAGCCAGTCCGCGCCTGGATGCACTATACATAATTAAGTCGTATATGATTAATCAATAGTACGATATTATACTTATATAGTATTATATTTATATAGTTAAGTATAATAATACAGTGTTTATGATAATTATAGCTCGGAACGTACTATAAGTATATCGCGTCGAGGAAACCATTTCCGCGTCATTACATTTTTCGCTTTGTCAGCCATTTCACCATCATATTTCCACAGCATCTTTTGCGGAACACCAGCGAGAGCTGCTCTGGAAGCGCTCTGGACACTTTCCGGTGACGATGCCATCGAAACCACCGAACCGAACGTGAAGTAAATCACTCCGTGAGGTGTGTTTTCAATAAATTCTAAAATGTCCTGTTAACATGTAAACCAATCGCATATAACTCTTCAAAATCATAATATCATAATGCAGGTTCAGTTGCGCATAAAAAGAGTCCTGCAAATTGTTTATACGATAGTTTTTATTTAAAAAGTTATATTATACTTGTCGAGGTAAAACAATGTATTTAATTTGTTCGTAGCGGCAGTGTGTCATAAATATGGTACACAACTAAAATTAAATACTAATAAATATGGTTATACAATAGACCAAACCATAAACACAACTAAATGGTCTGGTGAGGCTTAGCCCTCCCCCAAAAAAATTAATAATTCAATTATTTCCTAAAATATTAATAAACCTTTTAAAATTAAACTGTAATTCTTTTTTTTTATTATTTAAAACTGATATTGTTTTATCTCCAACTATGGAGTATTGAAGTACCTATCCAATACCAACAAAATTCGACAATTTCAGAATATGGCTCTTAATAAAATTACTAGTGCTCCACCTTTTGTTTCTAATTACACTATACAATATATAATGAAATGTCAATTAAAACCGTGACAGAAGAAGCTACACGCTTTTACAAAATCTTTCATGCCCGTCTACAAACACACCAAAACCCACTCATTAAAAACCTATCCACCCAAACATTACCTGGCAACCCCAGGCGTCGTTTAAAAAGGAGCTGGTGCCGTGACTTGTTAGTTAACTAATATGAAAGAAGAAAAAAAAACCAAAAAAAAAAAAATCAGTTTATTATATAATATATAGTTAGATTCATACAACATACAGTCAAGTGCCACTAGTGGGTGGCTTCTTATCATGTACTCGTGTATTGTTGTAACTACTCTTATCAAATATGCTAATTGTGGATAATTGTACAATACACTTTTGTGTTTTATTACTTTCATGTTGGTTTGATATATTATAAATGTTTTTTTAAATGACGAAGTACTGATCCAGTTGTTCCATCAACACACGAAAATTCATTATTAGAATTTTCTTCAAATAAATTGCAGTAAGCTTTATCTCCTACACGTTAAGCGTAATTCCAAACCCAACTTTTAACCTTAGACATTGTTATGCATTAGAAAGTAAATTTATATTTTAATGGCGATAGTTCAAATTTACCGTGAATCCGAGATTGTCTCATCAAGTCTTCAATAAATAACAATTGAAAAAAATGACTATAATAAACTAGTAAACCGTACACGACAGAGTACGTACTGCATAGTATATACATTAATCTATCCGTTACGTCATTTTACGATAATATACTGTTTATGAAACCTTTATTTTTAGAATATTAGGTATACATTTCTTTAGTATTTAGTTTTTACGGAAATTATTAACATTTAATGAATTCAGTAAATATTATGTTTTAAGCACACGTGAAATAAATATCCGTGAATTAAATACACTGGTTTTTAAATTTAAGTACACTTAAACAAAAAACACGTGATCACGTGAATCTTAATTCACGTTCAAATTCGAGAGTTCTAAATTGAAGTCTAAACTTGAAAAAAAATCTTAGTGTCCGTAACGGTACGAGCGATTAGTATGGCCAATTCGTAATAATTCTTATTAATAGGTTTTTATTGATACATTTCCATCAATATAATGAGTGGTAGGTATTTGTATTTTTATATTGGAACCAATTTAATTTCGTTAGGATTTTAATATTCATAATATAGCTCAGTTGCTGATTAGTTAGATATATGGACATATGGTATATACTTACACTTCCGATTAAAATGTTTTAAACAGAATAATTCATAAATATTCTAGCTCTATACGTTTATTTTAGATTCTAAGTGGAGCGATGAATATATTGATTTAAAAATGAATATGGTGTGTTTTTTTTTATATTTGTGTCTGTCAACACCTTTCCTGATAGGAAAGTCAATCTAGTTGGTACTTTGGGGGGTCAAAAATCTTGACTACGAAATAATCACTAAAATTAACAAATTATTTTGAGTTAGAAATTCATAAAAATATTCTTCTTAAATCTAAGATTTGAAAATATGATACATGATTCATTATATGGTTAGATTGAACATTAAGATTGAACATCACTCGATTTCTCATGTAGCGATTTTGTTATTTTGTTGTAATACAAAAAGGAATAACTGGTAGATACATTCTTCTACCGTCTACAGTATTAATAATAATTAATAACTAATAAGTAATAATTATAATATAAAATATCCCCATTGACAAACAGTCTTCGCTTAGAATCGTTTTTCGTAAACAATGATATTATGTCATTGAATGCAAATTTAATACCATCTAAGTGACCCACTTGTTACCCACTTTTTTTTATTTGGGTTTAGCCGTATAATTATTAATTAGTTATAAAATATAAAATATGAAAGCCAAAAAATAATAGACAAAAAACATGTTATAACAGTTTCACTTTATATACAATTTAAAAACAGTTTTTAACACTATTGTATTCAGATTAAAACTCACATAATAAATTAATATACGTGTATTACTATATAATAATATAATTAATCATATTTCAGTTTCCTGTTTTTAAATTTTATCACCTAAGTTATATTGTGATTATTTTAATATCATAAATAATAATCTATTTTAGGTAACTAACCAATATGTAATATTATAATATTATATACCTAACGTGTAATATAGGTTATCAACTAACAAACGTATTATAATTACCTATCGATAGACTAAATACAGCAACTACAACAATTTAGTTTAATATTTACCCATACCTAAGAACTTTTTCGATTAATTTTTGTTCTTAGATTTACATTCTCTAGACGAATAAAGTATACAATATTATATAAAAAAATAATTCACTTTGAGTACAGACTATGAACTCGATAGAATTTAATAAATTTCACACTTCAGATATAATAACGCTAGTGTAGGTATACTTTATATTGTATATTACACCGAATTCAATTTAATAACAAAAAAAAAAAACTATTGTCCATTCGAAAGAGTTGTCCGCTACATACAGGCGTCAGTTAAAACGGGTTTAGCTCAATAATAATGACAGATGTCAATATTATACAATTTATTTTAAATTATTATAATTATATTTTGTAATTTTGATTTGGTAGAAATTATGACTGCAAATAAATACTTTTTATTAATTAAATATTTTATTTTTTTCTAAAAATAACAAAAATGCAATTTTTATTCTCTTAGAAAGTACAAAATGCAAAAAAGTTACATCCCTCCTCGCCACTGACCCCTCAATAGTCTTCCAAAAGCCTACAAGTCATAAAGATCTTTCAGTCAAGTCCCCTAGCTGTCTATACGAGATTAGCTAATTACCTATTATATTTTATTTTACTTTATGTTTATTTTATATTAGCCCAAATCATATGACATTTCAACATTTGTACTTATTATAAATATTAAATGGCAATTGTATGCTTGAACAAAATTTAAAAAAAAAAAATTAGTTGTACTTCATTCACGTTTTGCTTTTACAGTATGGCAATATTTGAAAATGTGTTTGTACATAATTTTTAGGCAATAATAAATTACGATCTAAACGATAAGCGCAATAAATAATGTGCAAATTACATCAGCCAAAAAATATTGATACCACGTAAGATTCAGAGCCTGAGATTTTAAATGCGGTGCTGCTTTATGACGTATAACGGTATAACGTACTCCGTCCAGTAAACCATAGCTTCTGCAGGTGAAATGGGTCGATCTTTGAACCGTTCGGAAGCGATTTTAGCGTTTTTCTGATATCTGTGAGCATGGTGAATAATATTTAAGCGTTTTATTGAATTTCGTAAAAGGTCTCACCTATTGTTGTTGACAATCTCCAAAACGGCGTTAAAAAACGCCTCTTCGGTAACAGATAACAGGTCCATATCGCCATTCCGGCGTCAACCAGATTGTCAATATTTTTCGGTTGATCGTAGAAAAACGGAAATCCGAGTATGGGCACCCCTGCGTCAACAGCTTCGTGCAATCCAGATATGCCTCCATGGACCATGACTTATAAACAGTTTCACATTATTATGCGCTACATAATTAAGTCGTATATATTATTAATCAATTGTACGAGATAATATATAGACATACAGTTCAATATAAAACTGTAGTGTATATGTCATGATTTAAATATCTTGGCACGTACCAAGTATATCGCGTTGCGGAAACAATTTCCGCGTCATCACGTTTTTAGGTTTGTCTGCCATTTCACCTTCGTACTTCCACAGCACCTTTTGCGGAAGCCGAGCGAGCGTCTCTCGTAAAGGGCTCTGAACATTTTCCGGTAATGACTCCATCGATACCACCGAACCGAACGTGAAGTAAATCACTCCGTGAGACGCGTTCTCAATAAATTCCAAAATGTCCTGTTAACATTTAAACTGATCGCATAAAACTCAATTAAATATCATAACGCAGGGTCAGTTGCATACAAAGTGACGGGAAAATGTTTCATACGATAGTGGTGTGAATTTGAGTAAGGTTTCAAGATTTAATTCCAAAATTTGACCTATTTTTAAATTGTTATCGTTGAAGCGAAAATATATTACATTTAATCGTAGCAGCGTTATAAATACTTAACTATTACTATTACTAAACTTTCACTTATCATTGAATGAAATCAATACGATTAAAGCTTACTCTATAATATAATAGACCATCTGCCAGTTTGTTTGACGTGGACTCTACTTTAGTAGGTATACTGTATTTACGTCAATAAACTATGATAGCTATTTTATATTAATACCAATAACTAATATTGATTACTTTTGGTATCGGATCTGGCGGAGTCAGATGTATTCCGCCTATTTGGCACGATGTCCGGTGTCAGTGGTCTTGACGGTTCGGTGATGAAGTGCGTATTGGTAAAAGTCAGCGGTGGTCTGACCAGGTCTACGGCGTCAAACGGTCGCTGGTCGGATTGCCGAAGCCTCCGTTCGTCGCTCCACAACAGCCACGAACCGTAAACCGTTTGCAGCGCGTTGGCAAAACGGTCAGCGAACGTCTTGGGAACAGCGCACCGTTACAGCAAGTTGGGGACAACGGCGGGATTGGGGAAGTGACCGAAGAACGAACGTTCTGAATACATGACGATGGGTGATGGGACAACGTATATGGAGGGTAAGCGGAGAACGGTGGCCGCGTACGACGCGCAATCCGTTTTAAGAACCACCCGGTCGAATAACAGTGACTGGTGGCCGTCTAAGATTTCTCGCATTCGCGGGTGACCGAATACGATGCTGACAAGTTTCTCGATGTGAGCCATCATCGTTCGAGTGGACTGGCATTCCGTAACAAGCGACGCTTTCAGCCCGATCCTCCAGCTCACCGGAAACGTACAACTCCGTGTACCCGGGACGGTCACCGTCCACGAACGGCGTGAACACGGTTACCGTGTGGCCGCGGTCAGTCAACGCCCTCAGCACGCCTCGCATCACGTTCCAGTGGCTCTTGCCGTGGATTGTGTGCACCGTCAGAATGTTCGCGGCTCCGATAGACGTCCACTGTTGCTGCGGTGGTAGCACGGAAAACGCAATGAATAACGCCACGAAACGAGAAGTCATGGTAATCAGGGCACTCAGAAATCCTGTATCACGAGCTGTGGCCTGGAATCGTTCATACAACTTTACCAAAAATGCATTTTAACCCCCACACGAGCAGCTGTTGCCTGTTACTTACTACAGAAAATTGTAACAGTTTATTCGTATATTATTATTTCCTTTTTGTTTCTGACCTTTCCTGCTCATGTTGTCCTGTATCTACTTAGTTAGGTTAAGTTAGGTTATAAATAAAATTTATAATAATTTTTTCTTTTAAGAATCACCTACTTTACCTGGCTTGTTGCAAACGTCAACATTATACTTAATTTCCAGGGATATAAAAAAATTCTTTACTCCTATTATTTTATTTTTTAATGTAGGTAACCAGGTAGGTTCACTGATTTACTTGCATTATAGTATTAAACAATATATTATTAAATAATAAATACAGCAATTATAAGTTTATCTTGAAAATATCAAACAATATACTACATGATACAGAAATATACGATGTATTCAGTATAGTTTTTGTAAGTAAATGCCCGTAAAAAAAAAATATTACCGATCGGCCATCAGCATAGCCATCCCAAGGGGGGGGGGGCAAATGGGGCAAGTGCACTAGGGTATCTAAAGTATTATGAATTTAGGGGGCGTACTAAAAATAAATGATAAAAAGAAAAATTTGGTGTTTTTATTTCAGGTATTATTTTTATACTGTAATATCAAAGTCCAAAGATGAGTACCTATCAAATTGTATACTATTAAATATAAAATTATGTAAATAATGTGTTAAATCTTAATGCTACATACCTTCAATAACATATTCAATATTCATAAAAACAAATAATAATATTAATACATATAAGTTATAACTTATAAGACTACAATAGTAATTTATTCACATGAAATATATTTTAAATATTTATACAAGTCATTAAAATAATTAAGTAATATACTTTTTTTTTTTTTTAATTATTTATTTAAATGAATATTTACAATCTGTACTAGGGGGCACAATAAGTAAAATGTTTAGCATAATGGTGAAAAGGACAGTGAAAGACATGAAGGAGATTCACATTAGAAGCACCTGAGCTTAAATAATATCCTTAAAAGGTATGCATCAGATATTGAGTAGGTCTCTAGGCCAGTTGCGTTTGAGGCGTCTTGGCGGGTTTTCTGGAAGATGGTTGGAGTGAAGTTGAGCGATGAGGAAATTGGGGTTGTTGGCCGTTTTGGAGTGGAGGCGAGTATAGAATTTGGCAGCTATTTGTTTGATAGTAGCAATTTTTAGCTCATTGTGGAGGCTGACATTGGTAACGTACTAGGGGCATTCACAGTCATTCGGTAGGCAAATGGCTTGGAAAGCTTTGATAGTTCTATAGTGTTAGCTGGTTTGGCTGAACCCCAGAAAGTAATATACTTATAAACTAAACTAATTCATATCTTTGGTAGTATTAAATATTTTTTTCACTTAAAAAAGATTTTTTTTGGTTTAGTAATCGGCAAATTTAAGACAAAGCGAAGTCCTTAATTGTTGTGTTTAATTTGCCTGGTAAAATATGGAGAAATGTCATCATTATTTTATAATTTATAGAATAATATTTCAATAATACATCAAGTATCTATACTGACAGTGAAATTTGATTCATACAATAATAATGTCATTTTGATATTTGTTATCAAATACTAAAATAGTAAATTATTAGTTGGGCAGTCTCTATGGGCCTCAGTGATCAACAACCCCCTGGTAGTTGTGCTACTGTAATTATTATACGCAAAGATATATGTACATTGTACATTATGTCATAACCAACTCATTACCAATTTTACCCACTTCTTAAAATAAATCGAGTTAGTGTATTTTGACTGAAATCTGTATATTATATTCACTTATATTCACTTGTACAATTTACAATGTTGACTGTTATACACGCAACACGCAGAAACACAGAACGTATGATTTATAATAAAATCCACTAACTTGTGAAAATAGTTGTATATAATTTCTTTCTGTAATGTACCCAGAATAATGAAATCGGTGTCAACTTCGAACAAATCATAGAAACAAAATAAATATGATTCCAATAATAATAATAAAAAAATAAGTAGGAACCTTTAATTAATAACTAATACTTATTAAACATATTTAAGGTATGTGATTAATTATAAGCTAAAAATGTGAAGTCGAGATTTTTTTGTGGGAGGGAGAGGGGTGTCAAATATTGTTGCCCTAGGGTGTTATTGGTGGTTAGAGCGGCACTGGCCATCAGTCTTGTTATTAAAATTCAGAAAGAATGATTTTAATGATTCTAACATAGACAAAATTGTTGTAATCCAAAAATAGATGTAAATTTGGGTTTGATACAAAAAAATATTAATTTTTTTAAATATTGATTTCGGTTAGAGTAAAGAGATGCGCTTAATTACGAGCGTTGTTTATGTAGTCTTTTGTAGGTTGTATCAAAATTATTTTCGTAGTTCATTACAAAAGATTATTATAATAAATTTTCGTTGATAATTAAATTATGAAAGTAAAATAATATTTTTAATTTTTAAAAACAAATGTTTGTTTACTTTTGAACCTTTATTGACTATTTAAAAATAGATTTTAATATGAAGCAAATGTGGGTATTTTTACTATTTTTTTATATGTATTCAAAAAAAAAGGTGATCTGCTTTACAGTAGGTTACAAGTGGGTCACTGTAAAATGGATGGTATTAAATTTGAATTCAATGATATAATATCATTGTATCAGAAAAATGATTCTGAGCGGAGACGGTATGTCAGTCTAGGTACAAGACATATTATATACATATCTATGGTATTAAACAAAAAATTGACCTATAATAGGTACCTATAGTAAATTCCAAATTAATCATATCACAATACCTATTAGGTACTTATAACGTGTTATACATCAACAACAAACCCTGATACTATCATATATATATATAATAGTGTACTTTAGAAGTTTCTAGTACCCACGAATAATATCATACAATCACAACAAAATAACTAAAATAGTTATTCTAGGCTTTTTTTTATGTAATTTCATCCAAATTTGAATTTAAAATGACTATAAAAATAAACTGTCCTTCTGTATTTTTTAGATTTTTTGGTAACAGAATTAACTACTTACGTGGAATTTTGTTTTAAATTTTCAATCTTTCCATATAAAAATTTAACATTTTATAAATTTTTAACTACAAAATAATTATTCAATTTTAAATTTGATGAATTTTGTAAAAATTCGATCTTTAAATGCTTATAAAAAAAAATTGTGCCTATGCATTTTTAATATTTTTCAACTGATATTGTAACAATATATCAGGAACCT